GCACTGTTAGCTATCAAATGACATAGCAATAACATAGATGCGAATGACTCTAGTACTTCCAAAAATGAACTAGTGCCATCTGTCACAAACATGCGTCATGACTTTTCCGACAACCCAATAGTAAGATGTAGTTGCCATACCAACTCTTGACTGTCAACTTCCAGACTTGACATACAAGAGAAATAAACTTCTATGTTATTCCACTGTTGTTCGGTGTTTCCTGTAATATAAAATTAAACCAAATCCTAACTGATTCAAAAGCTTAATTTACAAGCTATTCTTCCAGGGCTATGGCATAGGTCAGAGGAGAAAGTAAATGTGATGATTAATTTTGAAAAATTAAAGATGCATCTGTTCATCTCCTGCCTGCACTTGTAACTCTATTTTTAAGTGCAGAAGTTCTTTAAGAATTCTGCCATTGTTTGAATAAACAACAAAATATGACCCTATAAAAATATGGCAATTATCTAAAAATGTAAAATTATATTAAAATTTACCATAAACATTGCTTTCATACTTAAATTATGTTGAATATGTGTATATAAGGTTTAGTTAATTGTAAAATAAAGGTGAAATGCATTTCCCCTCTTGGAAATCTTTCTAAGCATTTGTCCTAGAATAATGAGTATTCGTTTTCTGAATAGTTATATACATATTGCTTCTGTCTGTCAGAAATAAAAATATATAGAAAGCCCTTTCAGAACTGTTTCCACAACTATTATTGTATGTTATATATATTTGAAAAAAGCACAAGATAACCCCATCAATTAATTAATTCTTTTCTTTTTAAACATAACCAACACTTCACGGGAAACATTAAGAATATCAACTCCTTTTCCTTAACTATGAAAGACATTTGCATTAAAAAAGGAACATCTTTATTTCCTTAGAGTTCATCTATGCCTGCTGGTTATTTCCCAGCTAAACTCATAATCCTGTTTGCAACATCATAATCATTTACCCGGCAAACAATCAGGGTGTCACTAACAATAAATTATGACTTTAGGTGGGGGATAAGATACAGGCACAGATGAACTCTGAGGAAATAAAATATTTTTTTAAATGAAAATGTGGCTAGTAATAAATAACCAGGGACGAAAATCATGCTGGAACAGAATATCTTATAAAAACAGATTTTGGGAGGTATAAATAGTATGCTTTTAAAATTTCTCCTCTCTTGAAAGTATGACGCACACAGAGTGTTTATAAAGTACCAGTGCAATTTTCATATTTAAAAACTCTGAATTTACACATGATAAAAGAAATCTATAAACATAAGGAACAATGTTTCAGAAATGTTTTTAATACATTTAGATATTTAGCTTTTGACATAAATGCCAGCTTTATACATTATTCAATCTAATATTCTAACTCATGGAAAGCATTCGCCACTTTCAATATTGAGTGATTTTTGTGGATCATTTATGTCAACTTAATCCTAAATTCAAATTGATCCATCCATTAAAATGTCTGTATATTCAATGAGTATAGCCTAAAATCATGAAAAGTGATGATAAATAAACATGGCAGAGCACTTTCGAGTTCCCAAAGTGTATTCACATTCAGTACTGCATTTGATTCTCACAACATTCTTTTGAGCTAAGTAAAATCAGTATCTTTTTCTCCACTGCATGATGAAGAAACACATTCCAGTAAGTGATCTGCCAGCTAGCCAATAGTGTAACCTGATAACCTGTTTCTCCCACTACATATATCATATTGTCTCCCCTTGGGAGAAGTTAGGGACAGTGATGGCTTATCAGTTGGAAACTGCATATTCATTCATTCATTCATTCATTCATCCATTCATTACTAATAATTACCCAGTCTAAGTGAGACATATGATAAAGGACTAAGTGTATAGTGGTGAACAAAATAGACATAATTCATGCTTTATTGAAAGGTTTGGTCTAATTGGAAGATATACATTCAAAAGTAAACAAATAAATTAATAATTATAAGTGCTATAAAGGAAAAAGTAGGATGCTATGAGAAAGAATAAAAGAAACAGGGATAATTAATTTAGATACAAATTAGAGAAATTCTCGTTGAGCAGGTACAGTTTCAGACCTTAGAGATGAGAACTAGCACGTGACCAACACCAAGATGAGATCAGCATTGCTCAAGATCTTTCGACAATTGAATCATAGGGACAGCAAGAACTGTTTTTCTCTGACTCAAGGCATTATTTAAAATATCCGAGTTCCCTAGTACAGAGATGGAACCATTTTGTAACATTCATTTGTTGAAGAAAATGTTCATGTCCACCTCACAGATAAGGCATTAAGTGGTCTTAAGGGTGGTGTATCCCACTGGCCTGTGTTGTAGGACACACTCTGCATGCAGTAAATGTAAATGACTTCAACAAATATCAAATAACATATTAATGCTATCAAATACCATGTAATGTCAACTTGTTTCCATCACATGTATGTCCAGGGCTGTAAAGCTATAGAATTTCACATGGCTATTACACCACTAGGCAAGTCTGATATAAACTATAATAGCATACTAAATCGCAATGTGTATGTATAATCACGAGATCATTTGTCTGATAGTTGTGAGAGGTACATGTATTAACTCCAGTGTTGGGGAATGATTGTGGTTCTTCCGGAATGCCTGTAACTCAGTTCCACAGTCAGAGCTAGGTGCATGCCTTAAACAGCAATTTTAAGCTTGAGCTTCAAAATGAGAGAACACATCACAACTGCTTCAGGCAAAGGCTCTAATCTTATTTAGTTTTTATTTCCTCATTAGACTAATGGCAAAGGAGCTAAGGAACTTTTCTAAATGTGTGGTTATGAGAAGCAAATAAAGGCAGAAGGGGGTCTGCTCTGCTCTGCCACAGAGGACCCTCATGCTTAATTTCAATGTCATTTTGGAAGTCAAATGCCAAAGTCAGTGGTATACTCCTCATCTCAAATTCTAGTCGGAAATGCACTGATGAAAACTAATGCGCAGCTTAATTTTTATTTCAAAATTCCTGTGTTGTAAAAGGCAATGGTATCTTATACAATATTTTTCTGAGCTAGTCCATAAAAGACTCGAGCTATGACTGGACATACAGGAGGAAGAGCAGTGGCCCTACTTCCCTAATGAGAGTAGGCCAATACCTCTTTCCACTTTGAGAAAAAACACTGGAGTTTTATAAATTGCATTTAGAGGGAGGATTTTCTTCATCAGGAGTATAAGGAAGATGCTGTCTGAGAGCAAAGGAGGGTCAAGAAACGGCACACCTGAATGGACGTGCTAAAAAGAAAAATAACGTTTTCCTATCTTAACGGATGAACAGGCAATCCCCATTTTAACCATAAACACTAAAATTCAGAAAGCTAGCAGCCTCCGGACAAGATGCCAGAAAGGCTTTTGAGACAAACAATGAAGATTCAAGGGTGACTCACTGTTGTCTCTCTATGGGATTGCTGATGGAGAAAATGCTAAGAGAATAGCAAAAATGACTGAGGATTCACTGTCTTCATTTTAAGATATTTATTTCTGTTGAGGAAAATTTATTCTGATAGTACGATTGGCTTCCCTGATTGCTTATTGTTCATTGATGTGAATCACTTTTAATAAAGGGCATTTTTATATTAAAAGACATAGAAATGGCTATGGGCCTCTTCATCATCATTTTTTGTGCCGTGAGTAAACGATGTGTGTGAATGCCAGTACAATTTATTGATGCCATGGAAAAAGTATGAAAGATAAATTTACCCTAAACAACCATCTATCTTGAATAAGGGGCTACTATCCAGAATCACAGAGCAGACAAAAGAGTTTGGACCCTGAGATATGACTTTGCTGTGGTGATGGCAAACCAAGCTGCAGGGATGTTTTTATGATAAGTCAACAGACTTTTAAAAAGTCACAGTGACATCCATAAAACTATCCTCCCATGTCTTCTGCTCTTAAGCCCCTGAGTTACAAGATCATGTAAAACCTTGAATATCCACCAACCCCATTATTTACCAGAACCCAAGACTAGCAAAGTACTTCCATATCTGTTCTTTTCTTTGTCTATCACAACAGTCCCTCAAGCTAAATGTAGTAGTCAGGGTTCTCCAGAGAAACAGAACCAATATGGAGGCTAGCAAACCCCAAATCTACAGGGCAGGTCGGCAGTCTAAAGACATAGGGAAGAGTCGGCGCTGCATCTTGAGCCTGAATGCACTCTGAAGGCAGAATTCCCTCTCCCGTGGGGGACCGCAGTCTTTTTCCTCTTAAGGCTCTCAAACTGATTGGATGAGACTCACTGACATTATGGAGGATAATCTGCTTTACTCACTCTTGATTTCAATGTCAATCTCATCTGAGAAATACCTTTGCAGAAACTGCTGGAATAATGTTTGACCAAATATCTGACAGTAATTACTTAGTTATTTTATTTGTCGCATTTTATTGTGGAGAGAGGAAGCTGTGTTGGAGGCTCTAGTGTGTCGGTGTCTGAGGTTTGAGAAAAGAGGTGAAGTAGGGAAAGAGAGGAGCCTGCACAATTCAAACTTTTTGGTGTAAGTTATCTACATTGGCTACCGTAGCCTCACCAAGATGACACATAAAATTAACCATCATGCTGACCCTCCCAAAATAAGATGCTTTGAGGGTCTTTTCTGTGTTTTACTAAAATATAAAATAAGTATTATGTCCACTTTATTTTGGGTCCTGTTTCTCTATTCTAGTAGCAATTTTTGAAGCTATCAGAACTTCTATAAATATCAAAACACTAACAGAAAAAAATGTAATTACCAAAGTAAAAAATGGATTTCAAGTGCAATTAATGACATTGCCAAGTATGACTCGGTTGTCAAATTGACACTCTTATTGATGACATAATTAAAATATGATTAATAATTAAATATTACTTTTCAGCTTATGGTAGGTTATAGAGATACAGTTATAGCTGTCATTTTTTTTAATTCACCAAATTTTACTGATATAACCTGCAATATAGATTAGTATTTGACATACAATAGACAATTTGGAAGAAAAAGCCCTTAAACTCGTCATTTTGCTTACTTTTATTAGTCTGCAAACCTTGAAATATCAGACATTAATAATCAAAAATCTGCAGCACCTCAACAAGGAATCACTTGGGTACTTCTTTCAGTTGTTACTTTTTTCCATTTACTCGGGGTACAGAATGGAAAAAGCACTGAAACTTAGGTACTCTTTGACCATGGTAGTGTGATGACAAGTTGCTTGTCAAGAAAATCCTCTTCCTCCTCTTCTGGGCTGCTCTCAGAAAGTGTCAGCAGAGACTGAACTTCAGTATCTTTTTCAGAAGAGCTGGAAATACATTAAAAGATCAATACACAATATACAGAACTGGGTTTCAACTCTTCATTTATCTTCTGATCAATACTACATACGTTGAAGTCACTGGAGGCAGGCAGATGTGAGGGGGCTGTCACAGGCTGGGGTCGTAATGTGCCCAATACAGCAAGCCTCTTTTTAATGAGAAATTCTCAATCATTCTCCCTCTTCCAAAAACTAAAGCTGCAGTGGTACCAAGGAGAGATTTTACGGTCTCTGGTTGTGTCTTCACTAATGATTCAGCAGGCAATTCAGAAACTTGCAGAGCCTCAGGGTCATCATTACGGGCATTCATCATTCCATTGGCTGTTTAATAAAATCCCTTTGAATAGGCTGCCAGATAAATCACCTCTTTTGTATACAGTAAATTAGGACTGCGTGGATAGCCAGTCAAGACATGCCAAAACCAAAATTAATGACAACAATTATTTAGTTATTTTACTGTGTCGCATTTTATTGTGAGAGGAAACTTGTTGGAGGAGGCTCTAGGGCACAGGTGTTTGAGGTTTGAGAAGAGAGGTAGAGTAAGGGAAGAGAGGGCAGCCTGCCTGCACAATCCAGATATTTGGGTCTAAGTTATCTAGATGGCCAGCCCATGTATGACACTACATAATGTAAAATACTTCACCCCATGATGGATAGAATTGTCCTTTGGGTTCTTTTTTAATGCCCAATACAGGCTAAATCAGCAGTGCCTAAACTCTGGTCTGGGGACCAGGGCAGATCTGTGACCAAAAAAAAAAAAAAAAGAAAAAAAAAAGAAAAAAAAATTAACTGGTCCAAGAAGAGAACAGAAAATAAGAACAAGAAATAACTTTTATGTGAAATTTTTAATTTTAAAGAACTGCATTTTATTCCGTTAGTATGTTCCTAGCATGTTCCCCTTATATTTTTAGTATTAAATGTCCTTTCTTTTATGAAATGATGCTGAGAGTAGGTGAGAGGTTTAGTTACTTTGTTTTTAATGACTTTAGGGGGAAAATAGCAACGTGACATTGATTCCTGTTTTAACAAACTGTAAGTGGTGTTGGAAATGCAAAAATTCAAGAACCACAGCTAAATTATTTCCTCCTTCAGAAAGGAAGAGCACCAGACTCTTGATTCCCTTTTACTGTAATATTAGACTTCAAACCAATCGAAAGAATTTATAATTCAAGGGAATGCTGTTTAACATTTATTTTAGTCCTTCTAGAAGAAACCCTCCTCCCTTTCCAAGGATTCCTATATGTAAATAGTAGAGTCACATGATAAAATACGTTTCTTAAACATTTATTATATCATCTATGTTCCTTATAAACTAATCAGCATGTCTTAATGTTCTTGCCTTATGTGAGGAAAGGCTATTCTATCATTAACAACCTGGACTGGATTTCAAAAAAGAAACTTCTCAATATTCTATTTTTAAATTTTTATTCAGATTATTGCAATGTACTGAAATTTATTAGGTTAATTAATGCAAGAAAGGAAATTGTTTATCAATATAGGAAGAAATGTTGGATTTTTAAATTTCTATTTTTTTTTCATTTTTCTGACACACGTTTTGCAGCAGAGTATTCTCTTTATATTAAAGTAACAGCTTCATAAGCTTTGTACTAAATCTTGATAATAGGTCAGCAAAGGATACAAATATTTTACAAAGAATAGTCATACAAAGTACACACATGAGGACAATCTTTCCTCTTTTTTTTTTTTTTTTTTTTTTTTTTTAGCTGAGCCATCCTGCCTCGTGTTGGCAGCTCAGCGGCAGCTCAGCTTGGGTTGGGCATTGAACCACTGTTGCTCAGAGCTCGCACTCTTGAGTGAAATCTTAACCAACTGAGCCACTCGGCTGACCCTGAGGACAATCTTTCTTAATATAATAAGGAGAACTAGTTAGGGCTTGTGAAAATTGTTACTATGCACTATCTTTACGTATAAGCTGCGTCTTAACCTACCTTAGTTCCTCAATTTCACAGGGTCCAGTTGCACGTAAGCTCTTAAGAAAATCAAGAATAGTCTGGTTGATATTCAGCAAATGGTTGCTGGAGGCTGGTGACTCTTCTGAGGTTAGGCTGTAAACTTTCTCTGAAGGATCTGAAATATTTTAGTTCATGCATTGTCAACACAAATTCAAGAAACAAATGCACAGCATAGGGCTCTGAAAGTTTATCCAGAGTCAACTATAAGTAGCATAAAGAAGGCCAGGACAGATTTTTAATCATCCCTCAATTTTCTAATGATTATGGGGTGGGCAGAGTATGAAGTAAGTTTGATCTGAGATTCCAAATTAGGGCATGAATATTAAGTCACTTTAATCATATTAATTTTTTTAAAGCAAATTCCCCAAGTTTATTTATTTCAGCTTAATTGAGATATAATTGACATGTAACATTGTTTAAGTTCAAGGTATACAATGTGTTGGCTTGAAACACATATATATATATAGCAAAATGATAACCACCACAGTTTTAGGTAACACCTCCATCACACCATGAAATTTCCATTCCTTATTTTGTAATGAGAATGTTTAACATCTACTCTCTTAGGAACTGTCAAGTATCTAACACAGTATTGTTAACTTTCATCACCTGGCTGTATATGTGAAGTCCTCAGAACTTATTCATCTTACGACAGGAAGTTTGTACTTTTTGACTAACATCTGTCAATTTTCCCCACCCTCAGGCCCTGGCAACCACCAGTCTAAGCCTCTGTTTCTGTGAGTTCAGTTTTTTAATATTCCATATATACAGTGATATTTTACAGCACTTGTCTCTTTGTCTAACTTATTTCACACAGTCATGTATATTTTCAATATACATTACACTTAAGAAAAGTGCCAAATGTCCTGAGAATTCGCAAAATTCCAAAGAAAATCCAGTGATCCTCTTTAAAGCTAGAATATTGTGCAACTCCTCAAACTGCATGAATGTTAAGTGCTTTATTATCTCATTTTGTCTTCTAAGATCTAAAAGGTTCACCCCCATACAATCTGAGGCAAAGGTTAGTCTTGGCAAAGCTGCCCTTGATTTTTCCAGCTTCCTTGCTTTGTTTGGGTACAAAACAAACATTTTTATGTGAAAGGAGAGCAAGAAGCTTAAATCTTCTCCCTTTTCAGGAAGTTGGCCTTGATTTAGCCTAGGTAAAGACAAACAGTACAAGTCAGATAAGCAAAATGTATAAGCAAATATATTTTATATAAACTATCAAAAACGCAAGTATAGAAATGATTACTATATTAGAAAAGCCATAAAGGCTTCCTTTTGTCATCGATAAAATTCTAAGAGCCATCTAACTTGTACATAAGGTTATGCTATGATGGCTTTTAAAACTGATCAGATTACTGGGTGCTAGTCTCCCCTTCACTTTTATGAAAGTCCCAAGTAAACATTCTCCTGAACAGAAAAACCAAACACCAAACTACAGTGTGTTACACACTTGACTAAAGAAAAAAAAAATGTGTGTGTGTGTGGTTAGTATCAATTTGAAGTTTTTGAGCAAGCAGAGATTCCCCTACTGAAAGTAACTTGGATTATTTCTGCTGCAAGATAGACTCAATACATTTACAACTGGAAGTGTCCTTAAAATTATTTAGCCCAGTGATTTTCAAATGGAGTATGATACATGGAGAAATTCAGTAGGCCTTGAAAAGCAAGTGAAGTCACCTTTGTTCCTGCTTACTTGAAAGGTATTCTGAAATATAATTCTGAGAATGAATAATTATGTAAAACCAGGCCCATTCTTTTTGCATAATCTGAGTTAGCTCTTGGTGCTCATTCAGTTAGGACTCTTGCCTAACAGAGGGTGAATACCTCTCCTGGTGGCATTCTTTAGATCTAAGAATCACTGTTGGGTTTTAGCACTGGAATCCTACCAATTCCAAATTCTGAATTAACTGCATTCCCACAAGTAACATTTCCAGTCATTGGGGCATGGAAATATACCTTGCGTGTCTGTCTCCTTTGACTTGGTGGAAAACTAGGAGAGAAGCTGAAAGCTAGAGAATTAGATTCTGGAACATAGTGATGTATGATATTGGTGAGCTAAAAGAGCTCAGGTCTAGTTCCAGTTCTTCGACTGGGAGGTGGTGTGAATTTCAACAAGTTACCAATCCCCTGTGGGCCCTTCATTTTCTAAACATACCTACAAATGACATGCCAATGTTTAGGAGGGTATGACAACCAGCACACTCGCCCTGGTACCTGTGAGTCCCATCCCCAGCCCATCAGCCTCCGGCTTTCCTTTCCCTCCATCTCTCTTCCACTCTGCCACTGTATCTTTCCTTGTTTATCCCTCCATATTTTCTCCCCTTTACCTTCATTCTGCCCACACCCTCTCTCACTTAAGTGGTCCCAATATTGATTTGAAGTAAGGATTTCAAATGATCTAAGTAGCATTGTGGCATGGTGGTGTGCCTGGGTATCTGCCTGAGCTCTTATGCACTCAGGGGAAACCATGGGTGGGCACATCACCCAGAGCCTCAGTTACTGTACCCACAAAGTGGAAATTAAAAATAGCACCTATCCTATCATCCTCTGAGTAGCTATGAAGATAAAATGGAGGAACATTACATATAAAAACAAACAGTGATTATTATCACTCATTGAATGGTTTCATATTCCTTTTATCAAAAACTTTTTAACATGTTGATTTTCACTTGTAGGTAGCACTCAATTTTTTTCCTGAAATTCAAAGGTGCCCTAAAGAAAAACTATTGCCATTCTAGCCCATGATAACCTGACTGTCTTTACAAGGGTTATCTACTTAATTTACTACCTATGAAGCCCAAGTGGACCTTTTCACAATTTACTATCTTGCTTGATGGTCAACCAATGAACAGAGGCTTCAATAACTTAGGAAGCCACTGACTTTCTACTTTACTTCACAGGCAGTTGGCGACATCTGCTATTATCAGAGATTTTTACTCTTTCTTGTTTAAGAAAAAATACTTCCCTCTCTTTAATTACTTGGCTCAGTTAACTACCTATGAACTTATACAAAAGACTCTCTTAGGGATTTAAGGGCCACAAAAACTCTGAAATCACAAATCAGAATGAGTTTGAAACAAATGAGTCATTTTTACTTACTGAAAAGGTAAATGTTTTAAAGTAAATCATTACTGATACTTTCTCATAATGTATCTCTTTGATATTTTCCAAATTTCCTCAGGTTATGACAGCACCCAAACAATGACAAGGTGCCTGGATAAATGTCATACTGATATGTTGAGCTTATTAAATAAATGACTGTACTGTTATTTACAAAGATTTTTGTAGAGGGAAGGATAATATGGCATGAGGTAACAGCAAACTATAATCCTCAAAGTGGTCTAGCGGAAAACGTAAGTTTTAGAATGGAAACAACTTTTAGATGTTTGGGACTAAAAATTAGACTTACCAAGAGCACCATACCTTAAAGCATGTAGAAAGCACCACCCACTCGTACCTTATATAAGATTTTTTTCAGGACTTACAATGTGCTAGGCACTGCTGAGTTTGTGTGTGTGTGTGTGTGTGTGTCCCTACCTCAAACCCCAACGGCTGGTCAGGGCTCTCAGAATGTCATCCAAACTCCTTATTGTAGAGAGAAATAAATTTCCATAAATATAATGTTTAATACATATTTGAATTCAATCACTGAACAATTTTATGATAGGACCTATTATTATACCCATTTTCATACATAGAAACTGATACAAAACGAGATTAAGAGAATAATTTGCCCAGTATCTGGAAGCTAGTAAGTGGTGGTTTTGTTCCAAAACCCCACTCACATCCCCCCTGCCCAGGAGCCTGGCATCCTACCACCCTGCCCTGCTTCCGCTAGTCTCCTGATTTAGCAGGAAGCTGTGTCTGCACACACACATCCCCTGCTGTGCCCAGCTCGCCTGCTTCTGAAATGGCTCTAATATCTGCCACAGCAATCTGAATCAAAGGAGAAACACTTTACTTAATGTAGTTATTTTCTGTCTTTTCTTCTCCCAGCTCCTTGGCAAGGCTATCTCTCATAGAACTTAGTGGAAGTGGATACATCCCAGAACTAACAGAAAACGAGTCACAAGGTTTGCTGCTCACAAAAATGCAGCTTTCACAGGGATGCGAACACATTTACATTTGTATAAGAGTCGAATTGTGTAGCTGTGTCTGTATGAGATCAAATCTCATGAGGAGTTTTTCCAGGCTGCATCATGAGTAGCGAAATGTGAGCAGAATTTTTCTGCCCATTGATGCTAAACAAAATGCAAAAGCCTTGTGCAGAATCAGTACATTTTCTAGAATAGGGCCTGATTTCGTACAGCATCTGTCACCTCAGCGACGATGGGGTTGATTCAGCTGATAGCCCTCCTCTTCCCTCCTTGGCTCCAGGTGAGCGTCTCATTCAAGCTGTGCACTCATCCAAAGCCAATCTTCCCAAATAGAAAGAGAGCCGTTCCTGGGTCAAGTGTTATGTGAGGGACTGACTGCCTTCTGCTCCTGGGCCAGCAGAAAAGCCCTCACACTTCACAGGCTCTGCAGAGTGAGCTTGCTCTCGTATATGAAAAATTATGTATTCTAGGGAAAATACTGGTGCTGGTGTATGAGAAAAGGAGAGAGACAGGGGAAAAGTGATGCATGGAAGAACAAAAGTGATAAAGGCAGTGAAAAAGCTTGGTGGTTAAAAACAAACCTACAAAAAGACTACTGTTTGTAAGGGCTGTATTCCATTTGTAAATAGAACTTATCAATCTATCAAAATAAGAAAACTCTTCCTCTTCTGATTAAAAACTGTATGTTTATCATTTTAGATCTAGGTCAGACCAGACAAGCTTCGTTTCAGAGTCTGCCTTTAGTGTGAGAATTACCTCCTAGGATATTTACATTTTTTTTTTTTAGTAATTTACAGTAGAGCAAATGAATGATGATGGATGGGTACAGAAAGATTATAAACCTTCTTTCCTCAACCTCTAATGAAATGAATAAAAAAAGCAGAAAAATAAAAATAAAAATAAAATCATAACAGGAACCAAACAAAGAAAGGGATACAAGTTCACATAATAAAGTTTGAGAAGAGGCAACCAAAGAAATACAGGGAAAATTCATTGGGGTGGAGCTGAGTGCTGCTACCCACCCCTCCCCAGTTCCTGCCCAATATGCATACCAAACTAGTAATAAAAAAAGGATAGTTATTTAAAGTACTGACAAGTCTCACCAATACCACACTAAGTTGTGGAAAAATAGTGAAGGGGAAGTAAGTAAATGGATTTGAAATATTTTTTAAAGCCCCTAAATACCCACCATAAGATCTTTGCTGAGGCAAGAAAACTGAAAACCTGTAGTGTCCCCACAGGGGCAGAACACAGTTGAAACCAGGTTTAATGAAATTTGGCACTATCCTCCCCCAAGCCTTTGAGCTGTCAGGGTAGAAAGGTGCAGTGTCCAAGGCATAAATGTAGCTCCCAAGACAAGACTGACAGATCTGAGTATAGGTGAGGAGCATTTCAGGGAGAATATAGTCTCACTATATAAAAAAAAAGCAGAGGATATGAGCAAAGCCACCCATGATAAGTAGGAGCAAGTAAGATACAAAGAAATGACAGCAACTAGCTTTGCAAACAACCCAGCCAGAATCCAAGAAGCCACAGCATGCAAAGAATGATTGCATAAAATGCCAATCTGGTAGAAAATATATCACGATCATAAGAAAATTCCAAGTCCTTTGGCTACAAAAGAAAGAAAAACATTTTTTAAAAGAGTAAAACTAACCTCAAAGATCAAACAACATGTGAGTGACATCATAAAGGAAAAAATTCAATGGTCAACTGTTTCTGAATTAGATCCTCTACCGGAATAAAAACAAACAAACAAATAAACAAACAAAAAAAAAACAAGCTATAATGAACATCACTGAGAAAATTTTTAAAAATTAGATAGATATGCACTGTGGATTATAGACTCTCATTGTAGCAATGCTAAATTACTTACTTTTGATCATTGTACTGTTGTTGTGTAAAAGAATGTCCGTGTTCATGGGAAATGTGCACTTAATTATTATTATTATTATTATTATTATTATTATTATTTTTGGTAAAAGGTCATGATGTTTATAACTTCCTCTCAAGTGAAAAAAAAAGAGCTCTGTGTGTCTGTATATAGATGCAAATAGGGACTGAAGACAGGCTGTGAACTGGATCAAGTGTATACATTGGTTCCTTGTACTATTTTTACATTCTTGCAAATTTTCTGCAAGTTTGAAATCGTATCAAAGTAAATAATTACCAAAGATAGTGAAAGCAGTACTTTAAGAGAGCTAATTTATTAAGTCAGTCATTAAAGAATGGACTATAACCAGCTGAAAATTGAAATTCTGACACAGAAGATATGCTTGAGAGAATCACAGTAAATGCAAAGGAAAATAAAAACTGGATAAAACAATTGAAGAAAATATAAGTAAAGGCACTGTTCAAAGAGGATCCAACATAAACAAAATAGGTTTCTCAGCAGGAGAAAACCAAATGGCACAGAAAAGCAATTCAAATATACAATAGCAGAAATTTCTCTGAAAATAAAAAGGAGCTTATTTTGTAGACAAAAAAAAACAAAAAACACTCTGTTTTAAGATGTGTTGAATTATTAAAACTGAAATAGAATCCTGGTTCAGTTACTGAATTTCAAAGACATGAAAAAAAATTTTTTTTTCAAACGTCCAGTGATGAAAGAAGCATGTCACATGCAAGAAAGAGGATGAAGTAAAAAATCAAGGTAAACTCAAACTACTTCAGAGCAGAATTCAGACTGAGAAAATGATGAATAGGTATGTGTAAGGTTTAATAGAAAAGCGACCCTAGGAAATTATCCTCAGCCAATTTGCCATTCAAATGTAAACGTAGTCAGGCATGCTCAAACATGAACGAACTCGAGTAATAGAGCTACCGTGAGCCCTGCCTGGGAGGAAAAACTATTTGACAATCATATTCAACCAAACAAAAGTTAAATGGAAAACCTGTGCTAACGGACTGGCTCGCACGTGTTCAGGGAGAGAAGACTGCAGAAATACCTACTAAGTGCAAAGCAAGAGAATTGTGAACCACTAAATTAATCTAGCCAACTTGCCAATCGACCCCACAGACAAAACACAGACATTCTCAAGAATCCCACAATCAAACCTTCCAGAGAAGAATCAAAATAAATGGTTCACAATTGGGAAGTCATAGTAAAAACGCTAATGCTGATCATTTAATCCATATGAGTTTTCACTAAGAAAAAAAAATGAAAGGAAACCTTGAAAAACTGAAAAGTAGCATCACTATAACAGTGATATATTCAATAGTATCTATAATTACATGCGGTTAAAAAAATAAGAAATAAATGAGTTCTTATCTCTTATTACAGGGATTTAATTTACTGTCTAAAATTAAATCATATAGTTTAAAATGGCCTCCATTGCTTACTGATTCTCTTTACATTTTTCCTTAATTTTTAAAGGGATAGTTGTAAAAATTACAAGTGAGCCCATATAAAACTGCAAATATTCCACTGTTTTTTGTATACAAAATGGTAATTTCATATCATTTGACTTATGATGAAAAAGTAGTTATCTGAAATGTACAATTTCCTTTAGTTTCATTTTAATTTTTTGTTATATTGGGTAAATACCTATATGACTTTTAGAAATATTATATAGAGCAAAACCTATTTTTGTAAAATTATTACTCTCTTTCCTTCAATTAATCCATTCTTCTAAATAGAAATCTTCTTATTTTTTTTTTAAGATTTTATTAGGGAATTGGAGGAGGGAACAGACAAGTTGCTGTCCTTTTGTTCTTCAGTCTAGTTGTGGAGGATGTTGCTTCACTGGTCCAAGTTGGTATTATCATTGTGCTCTTCCCGGGTGAGACAGTAGCTCGCCAGCCATTGGATGATGTCTCATGGCAGCTCATGAAAGCTCACGCCAGCTGCTAGCCACTCACAGTAGCTTACGGCAGCCCACTGCAGCCCCTCTGCAGCCTACGCCATTGCCGGCAACTCACGGCAGCCCAGCTCCAGGTGGAGCTGTTGTTCTCCATGTTAGCTGTAGAGAGCACAGCTCACTGGCCCATGTGGGAATTGAACCAGCAGTCCTGTTGTTCAGAGCTTGTGCTCTTACCAACTGAGCCACTCGGCCGGCCCTATAAATTCTTATATGTATATTTATGATATAAACAGACATTTAAAACGATGTTCATCAAATGTTAAGAACTGTTTTCAGAGTAGTGAGATTTTGTGGGGATTCTGGTTTCCTTTTTTGTTTGTTTGTTTTTTGTCTTGCTTGAAATTTTCAAAACCAAGGTGTGCTCTTTTTAGGAAAGCAGCAGAGTCATTATGCTAAGGTACTATCACTAAAACAACAATGACAAATGAAACCAAAGGGAGAGCCATGTGTGGAAAACACAGGCTCCTGAGAAGGTTCTGGCTTGCCTCTCAGACTTGCAGCGGCTTCCACCAAACTATATGAACAACTTTCTGATGAAAGTTAAGATTACTTCCCCTCAGGTTTGTTCCCAAACCAGACCTCTGTAAATTCAAGAATATGGTTATGATTCACCAAACTATATCCTTTGAGGTTCAGGAAACAGAATGCACAAGAGTAATTTCTCCTCAAACTGGCCTGCCAGCCAGCAGCACTGTCATCAACGGGGTGCTTGTCAGATGTGCAGAATCTCCAGGCTCCAGCCCAGACCTCCTGAGTCAGAATCTGTATTTTTAACAAGATACCCGGAGGCTTTGTGTACATGGTGAAGTCTGAGAAACACTGGTTTAAGCAACCTAGCAGCTTCACTCTCCAACAAGTGTGTTGGGCAGCAGCTTTCCTAAAGCTACAAACGTTAACCACTCAGTGGTTTTGTAGAAAGGAGAAAAAAAATTCAGTCCACATGAAGGTTCTTAAGCAATACAATTTAACTGTGTATTTTGTGGCCTAAGGAAGACTATCTCTAGTGTGGTTGGCATCCACACATGACATTTTCAGGGTGACACCAGGGGATATTCAAGAAAACACACAAAAAATTGATAGTTCAAAGAGGGGAAGTGAAAGGCTTTTGTGTTTGCTAGCTGGTTTTCTTGGAACGCAATATGAAGAATCAGGCAGAAAGCACAGTTAACATTGTCCACAGTGAAAAAAATAGCATTACCTGCAAGATTTCTCAGCACTTTTAATTCTTTGTCCAAATTGTCTAAGGTTTGTTGATCAGCAGCATGGTCTGAGGAAGGCTCATTGTGGTCAGTAATATCGATATATTCAATTTTTGAAATTTCATAAGCAGCTCTAGATAACGATGGAGTGACTGCACTTCTTGATCGAGGATGAGAGGAGGAAAGGCAACGGGAGCTTTTTTTAACAGAGTTAGAAAGTGGCAGATGTGCTGTTGAAGGTCTCTGTGATGTCTGGCCTAGCAAGAAAAAAATTTAAATCAACTGTTTTGTAAATTCTGAATGAGTGCTGAAAGATACAAAATACCAGCCAAACTTAGAGCAGCCATGCAACAGAGTTTATGAAAAAATGAACTTTGGATTATCATCCAGATTAGTTTACCACAATTTGTTAATCCCAAATTACTTTTACCATGTCATAACACTTCTGGGTTATTTTTCCCAAATTTTTTCTACACTTGGGAAAAGATAAACTAATTTTAACTAAAGTAAAGCATCTGTAAACTAACTCAATTCCACACTAGTCCAGCACTCAGTCTTATAACCTTTCTCAGAGCCAACTGCAGTGCCATGTTCCTTAAATTCTAGGACAATACCACACAGTGCCTTATAAGAGAAAACTCATAGGATAAACATGGTATTACTCCCCAGTGAACCAACTTTACCTGATAGAGTGTAATTTATTTATTTATTTATTTATTTATTTATTTATTTATTTATTTATTTATTTATTTATTTATTTATTTATCTATGGTATTTATTTTTTGAGGAGGGCACAGCTCATAGTGGCCCATATGGGGCAACATTGGTGTTATCAGCACCGCACTCTAACCAACTGAGCTAACTGGCTACCCCTCTTTTACGTTAGAAAAAATATGGAGCAAAATAGGCTAGTATACATATTAAAAAACAAAAACAAAAACATAGCCTCTAAAGAAATTGAGATCACATCTCTAACTTTCCAAAATATGAGTTCACTCTCTGCTGCTTTATAGGATATTTTTATGGAGACGTTCCAGAAGCACAGATCTAAGTCAGGTTGTTACTTTGTTCTGTTAGTGCAGTCACTGCTTTGTCTTGATATATCTCAAGGGTTAATTTAGTTGGTTTCTTCAACATGTGTGTTTCTTTTATAGTAGGAAAAAAGAATCTCTTCAAATCTTATACCAATACAACATAACTAATTTTAATTTGGCATTGTTCCAAGATTCTTTAATAAAGGGAATTTTCAAGGTACAAATTTAGAAATGCATACCATAGGTAAAGTACTGATTCATTGATCTGATTTAGATTAGATGAATATATTTACATTAAATATGAATGATTTAGAGTATAAGTTTGCATTCCCTTAACACAAATTGGCTTTGTGTAAAAAATGAATTTGTTAGAGAAGTGCTGTTGTCATTATCATAAAAATTATGATTTGACTGAACATATGCCATATAGCATTATGCCCAAACCATTGGCTCAAAGGAAAATATAAAATTCAGAAGAGTGGTTATAGGCAGTTGTCATGTATTAAACATTTAATAACTATTGAGTTAGCCTTTTTTGTGTGTGTTAAACTTTAAAGATCTACTTTGAAAGTAGCTAGCACCCTAAGAAGAATCTTAATGTAGTGTGTAATTATTTAAGCAATTAAAACTGACTAAGGTAAGTCCCAAAGGGCATCGATTTTAATGAACATTTCAGAAATCAATTTTGTAAACAATTTTTCTTGGAATGGAATTATGAATAAATTAAGATCCTGACCTTTTGTGTCTGTTTCTGCTCAGAGACAATTCTGAAGAAAAATAACTGACAAAAAAAAATGTGCCTGTGTTTTAAGAAAAATAAATGTAAATATCCCTCAGAATTATTTTAATGGCAAGAATTTAGAAATGACTTCTCTTTTTCCCTGCAATATGTAAAAAAAGTCAATATTTTATTCCTAGCCACCAAGCAAAGCAAGCTCACCATTCACAGAACAGGACAGTGAGTGTAACAGTAATTCAACTGCAAAAATAAAAAATTTTATATCTACTGAGGAAACCATACTCTTCTATCTGTATTGTGCTGTGTCTCAGACAAGTAAAATTTAAAAGTATTTGGAACTCTTATTAAAATAAACAAACGAAAGATGTTATTAGCAAGAACTGGACTTCTGCCAACACAGATAGGTAAGAAAATGTTATCATAATGTAGATGTCCTTCATAAGATTCAGGAGAGTACAAACACTTACTGAACTCTCGTAACAACCTCTAGTTGTCATGGTATGTGAGGTTAATTGATCCCAACTGAGGAGGGAAAACAAGAAAAAAAAAGTACTCCAGGGATGATCAGACTTACGGTAGCACACAACAAAGAGGAAGACCACCTTTTTTAATGGAAATATGTTCAAAGCATAACTTAGAGTAACTAACACATAGAAAGAGACAGAAGATGCTCCAACTTTGTCCTTAATTTTACTCATTTATTTTATTCATGTAGGTAAATATTCATTCCCTCTGATGTGTATTGTGTAAGCTTATTAATGTTATTGCTAGGGTTAAGATTTAAAACAGTTAAGACTGGCACTAATTAAAAATGCCACTGTTGAAAGGATCATACCATTTTTTTTTAAAGTCTAATTTGTAGATTATGAGCATAACAAATTACTTTAGGAGTAACTTGTTCCATCACTGGAATAGTAAATTTAGGAAATTATATATTAACACTGATCACAGTTATACTTTAAATATAACAAAATAAACTGTCCTTGGTATTAGCTAAATAATATATGCTCTATGATTACTAATGAAAACATGAAAAATATTTGAAAGATAAAGAAGAGTCCTCATTAATGCACACAAGAATGCTGATGAGAATATGAAAACTACGAATCACTCATTGAATAGTATTTAATACAACAATAATTGTTGCTGTTCTAATTATAAATTAGAATGGATGAAGCATAATCAGAGTAACTTGCTTTTTGCACAGTGCTTCAATAACAAATACCTTTCTGATCAAAGGACCTAATATTTTATTTGTGACTAAAGGTGGCAAAATATTATTGTCTATTGATATTCTTGCTTCACTGTGTAAATTACTAAGAATTTATATATAAGAAATTGAAATACATTTTCTTAGAGTTCTTGAAACATAAATGCAAATTTTATTTAGCAGCATGGTTTAGTGGGAAAAATGCTAAACTTGGAAGCAAGAACCTTATTGTCTAATCTCACCGATTAGAAATTAGCTTGTGGGACATCTCAGTTTTCGCATACCCCCTCCCACTCGGGAGTTGTAAACTTTCTCTTGCTTTAATAAAACTATGCTCTGCTACAAACTTAAGAAATAAAGAAAGAAAGAAAGAAAGAAAGAGAGAGAGAGAGAGAGAGAGAGAGAGAGAGAGAGGAGAGAAAGAGAGAAAGAGAGAAATTAGCTTGTGACCTGAGATATGACAATTCATATCTCACCAGTAAAATTAGAGTTGGACAGAATGATGTCTTAAATCCCCTCCAACCTATAAATTAACACCCAGTCCAATTCAATTATAAAATCATTTGTCAAATCCTGAAACTGCCAGGCACTGTGTCAGATCTGGGTATTCAAAATTGAAGACAACATTGTCCTTACATTTGAGTCACATTGCATTACTCCAAGCTAACACACTAACACACAGTCCTGCTACCCTGCCTCCCTCATTCAGAAACACTTCCGAAGTAACTACAATGCACCAGGTCCTGTTCCATCCCTGAGGGTACACCAATGGACAGGACAGGCTAGGCCCTTGCTTTCTTTCCAACTAAGGTGTGGTAAGCAGAAAATAAACAAGTACATAAAAATAATGTCATTTAATGGTAGATTCTCTAAAAACGACAAAAGATGGTAAATGTGATTAAGGGACACAAGAGACCAGAATTAAATAGACAGGGTGGTCTGAGGAGGCCTTTCTAAGGAGGTGGCATCTGGGCTAAGGCTGAATAATAGAAAAGAATCAATCATCTGAAAAAGTATGTCAAGATGGAGATGGAAGCTTCAAAGCATCCTGGGTCAGAGGGAAAAGCAAACTCCAAAGCTAAGAAGTACGGTAAGAACGAGGCCTAAGAGCAGAAAAAGCCAGTGGGGCTGCAATGGGACAAGCTGTAGTTAGAAGAGAGGGCAGAGCCGCACAGGTACTGCTGTGTAACGCACAGTAAGGCACATAATGCTTTTCCATCTTCTTCAAGGAGCTATGCGATGCTTTTAAGCAGAAGATTGACATGATGAAATTTATGGTTTAAGTTTACGGAAAACATGATTCCCTCCCTATAAATAATAAACAATTTTAAGACTACAAATATAAGCAGTTCACTCACGGACTATAAATAGTAGAATTTGATGGAAAGTAGTCATAGCAGCATGTTTTGGAGAGAGGCAAGCATGAATTTGGGGGAGACAAGTGGACGATGACGGACCACTGGCTTGGGTTCATCTTGAGCAGTAAAGACAGAAGCGGTTTGATTTGGGGTCTATTGTAGAGCTGAAATCAGCAGGATCCAGGGATGAACAGGATGTGGTGGGTGAGAGTCAAGATGACTACGGCTCCCAGTTTCGGGCTCATAGACGTCCGGAGGATGTCGCCATGTGCAGAGACAGGAAGATGGGGTGGGAGAGGAGTGAGGAGCTAGGACTAGGCTTCGGCAGTGGGTGGGGCAGAATCCATAGACTTGCTGCTAAACATTTTTACATTCATAAATTAGAAAAAAAATCTTACAGAAATAAGAATTCCTTTACATACTGGCATCAGTTCAGAATATGAGATTTCCATAAATTATGGCATTAGCCAGGAGATTTTTATTTATTTCAGGCCACAGAGATAAAGCCCCTAACTGTCCATAAAGCCCCTAACTGGTAAATCTTATGAATTCTTCAAGGTTCAGCTGAAATGTCACCTAACCTCTAACACCTTGCATATCTACACTTTTCAGTGGCAATTATTTCATCATCTTCATTTCTAAAAAACTGCACATGTACCTATCTCTATTATAACTGATCACGTGTATTAATTACATGTCAATCTCCCAAAGTATGTTACTCACAGTCCTTTTATAAAATGTATGGTATAATTTGTGTGCTTATAGAGCACACAAATCCACAGAGACGTTTTCTCAATGTATGAGCTTTGGACTACTACATCAGCATAACAAGGAGTTGTTGATATAGTAAATGCAAATTCCTGGACCCTATCTCAGCCTTAATGAATCAGAATCTCTAAGCGTAAGGTGGAGAGAGCCATATTAAAACAGGTTTCCTAGCTGATTATGCTCACAGGGACACTTTGGAACCTCTGCACTGAACCCTAAGCCCTCAGGCTACAGAAATTAGGGCTTCTTTTGTGTCACCAGTGTCTGGCAGTGCCTGGCCTAAAGTAGGTGCTCTCACAAATGTGTTTTATAGTAATTTAATGATGTCAACTGACCATTCCAAATTGATACTTAAAGGCATTTGGCTACTTAAAGATCGGTCCTAGTATGTATGTGTGTGAATTTGTTTTCATCATACAGTAACTTCAAACAATTCCTTTGACTGCCTCAGAAAGAAACACCCAGAATTTTTGAAGTGGCTCTAGACTTTGATATGAGAACAGGTGCCTAACTATAAAGGCAGAAAACACTTATCATAAAGGGATAGTTTTTCCACGAAAGAAAATCTCTCATATCTGGCAGTTTTGCAACATAAATACATACAGAAAGTATCTAATCTAGCCTAGAAGCTTTAATCATAGGATTTAGATAAAGCAAGAGAGATGTAAATCTTACCGATCTGGACAATTTGTATGCAATTAAATCTCTGGCTTGAAGATGGCCTTCAAACTAAGGCAAATAGCCCCCTTAGTCAAGTGTTCTGCCTAAACCACGAGCTCTGGAAGATCAGGGAGCATGACTTAAGCATCCTTCTTCTCCCAGGCCCAGCGCAGTGTCAATACATGCAACACATCCGTGTGGAACGGCCTCCATTCATTAGCATCTACTGCAACTTCATATCAAATTCAGCCAAAGCAAACCTACTTTAGCAGGTATTATTGGATAACAATAATGATCCAATAATAATGCTGATTCTAATGATGTCAAAATCCTCTGTATACACTCACTAGGGAAGTATCACAACACACATTCAACATGTCAAAAGAGTTATCCTATAGAAAATCTAGCAATTATTTTGGTTAGACAATGAAGATAATGAACATTCAGTGTTAGGTTCAGAATGGAAGTGTCTCACCCAAGGCTACCAACAGCAATCTTCACCTCAGCCATTCATTTCACCAATGGCTCTGTCTGGTCATCATATTAACCAAGTATGCAACACCTAGCATAGAAACACTCTTTCCTAAGAGTGTAATGAAACTGAATATGTATTATCTGAGGATTGTTCAAGATCTACGTCATGTCCTGAGATGTTAAAAATATTATTCTCTAATGCATTGCTCCAGAAAATAGCTGACTATAACTTAGGTTTTTTGAGAGAAATAATGACTACTTTAGGGTTTTTTGTTTTTTGTTTTTGCTTTTTTGGTTTGGAAAGAAACATCCAAGACAGTTAGTTAAAATGATTCAGTTTATATTATAAAACTGCAACAATTAATTTTTAGGTGGCTAGTAAACTGCTGCAAGGCAAGCTAATAAACAAAGTGAGCCAGCGACACGGCACCACAGTCTTACAGTTTACCTTACCCATCTTTTGCTGGGTTCTACTTGATGATGGGTTCTGGGCACTCTGAGGAACACACAAGGCAACTGCGCTGTCAGCAGGTGCACTTATGCTATTGTCTGGGATCCATTCTCTGCCTCCTGAAATAGGAAAATCATAATATACATTTTAAAAAGGAGAGAAATTCAAGTTGCTGCTTTATTATATTTATTGTCTTACTGGATAATATTTAGCAAATAATAAATATTTGTAACAGTGTGATATATATTTCAAAAGATAAAACCTCATAATTTTATAATTAAAACCATTTGATTCACGTAGCTTAATAAAAAGAAAAAATAAAGTCTAAATTACAAAGGCATTACACACACAGGCTTGAATAGAAACAAGTATCTTAGAAATTGTGTAACAATATATCATAAAGTATAATAGTCTGTATATGAATAAAGACATTTGAATACATAGGAAATAAAAGAATATAGGTGACACCAAGACCTAGTTTCAAAAGGAAATTACAGGTATATCTTGGAAATCTCACAAATCCTAAGATTTTGATATTTGCTTGTAATATGGCATTTAAGAATCATCATACAATATATAACAGCTAATAAAGTGATTCAAATAATTTTTATGTTACAGTTTAGTAAGGGAAACATTTCTAAATTCTAAATATAATTTCTCTCCAGTCTTCTTATAGTCATGTTATCTCTCATTCTGATAGTAGCCTTCAATATAAATATGTGGTAACTCACACAGGGTTCATAATTTCAGCTAGAGAATAAAATGATTTTATTCGTTAAACAGAATTGCCCAGTATTTCCTAAGATGACGACGGACTGTTTAAAAAAATGTGTCAAAGAATTGTTAGGTTAGTCCACAGGCTATCTGATCTCATGTCTGAATTTACCTGTAATTGTAATCCTAGTACTGGAATAGCTGCATTCTAAGCTATTAGAAGGAAGGAAGTTGAGCTTTTCATTTTTATCAAAAACAAAGAATCTTTCAAGTCCTTGATATTTTTCAGTTATAGGCTTACTTCTGAGGGCTACTTCTTGTAACGACTAGGAAACAAAATATCAACAAAATTAAGTGTATTTTACCTCCTCAACACAAAACAAAACATTCATTCATTGAGTGCCTACTATGTTCTTGAAATGGGTTCTGCCCTCATCAAGTATACGAGTAAGTTCTAGTAATGGAGACATAAATAATAACAACATATATACAGGAGGTTCTGAGACATATATAAACCACATTTACAGTAATTATCTGAAAATCGCCATCAATCTAAGGAAGAAAGAAATTCATGAAACAAAATAAAGCTTTCCTTTTTCTTTCTTTCCTTTATTTTCTTTCCTCAATGTCTCTACACATACATTACTCTGGAAAACAGAGAGACTCTCATATGCTATGCTTTTAAACTAATGCCTTGGTCTACACATAAAATAATTTCAAAGATGAAAGAAAGTAAATATCAACTGGAACAAATGAGATTCAACCATGGTAACAGACAAAATCAATGTTAACAAAATACCCATCGTGAAGCAAATATACAGGCAGGAAACAGAGGCAAGGGCGAGCTTTGTAACTTGAGACATTTATTATATATTGGGTTATTGGAAAAGTCATGACGTATTTTTTCTATGTTTTTTGTTGCAAAAATGCATCATAACTTTTCCGACAACCCAATAGTTAGAAACTAGCAGACCTAGGTTTTGAATATAGGTCTGTTTGATTTGATGCCTAGGCTTATTCCATCACCCTACAAATTCATTTTTTGATATGCTTTCCTTCTCGGGGAAAATATAAATGGGATTTAAAAAAATACATGAGTCGAGTAGGAAATGGACTAGAGAGTCAGAAGTGAGAGCTCTAGATGGGCTTAAAATATGATCAGAGTGTCTGTCAGTATTGAAAAGTTCCCGAATAGATTGAATTAATGCCCAAATGCATGCAGTCTGTTCAAGGTGGTAACCAACACAAGAAAATTATAACTTTATTAAAATTTATAAATCATATAAATGGTAAAAAATATAAAACCAAGTTAGTGACCAATAAATTATCTCCTTCAAGACAAGTCCAAGTCCATTCTACTCATGACAGCTTCACTGGCTCTCCCAGACACTGAAACCAATTTACAGAACCCCTTTGGCTCTAGGGATGCTCATATTTGGATTAGACAATTGCAAATCTGGAAGGGTTTTTTAAAGCCATGATAGATAAGAACAATGAAAGTGCATTTGTTTGTTTTCCCAAATTCACAATGTTAACTATTGGTAGTTTCAGAGCCAGAACGAAGAGTCCCTGACTCACCCACGTTCTTCCCTGCACCTGACCCTACATCACCGCTGCTACTGCACAACTTGGTACTTAATTCCATAGGAGGTTCTGCCTTTATGAAAAACTCAATTTCTGAAAACTGAAGAGCAAAATGAACTGTCTTATACTCAATTTGGAAGTTAAGTAATGCCACTGCTAAAAATTGCCCCTCCTGCTCACTCTTGAATTTTCTACTGGAGCACAACAGAATTTTAAGTAGTTTCTGCTCAGGGAATGGTTTCTACAAGGGCAGGAGGAGAATAAAAACAGTTCATGTGCAGTCATTAGGGATGAAAAGAAAGCAGATTCTACCACTGTGTATAAAGCCCTGTGCTTTATGATGTATTCATTTACCACTTTTTTTTTTTTTACAATAGTAGCATAAAGGATCAAAATATGATTAGAGGCTTTCCAGCATTCCAGTTTTAATTATGAAATACTTTAAACATGTAGAATATCAACACACACAACACACTTTGATCACACAATTTGATATCAGTAATTTAAAATATTTGCTTCAGGTTTCTATGCAAATATACATATATATGTCTTTATAGAGAGAGCTAATTGTACTACTTCATTAAAGTTAGCATATTCTATTCAAATAATGTTTTTGACTATTATTACATCTGAATATGTCCATAAAAAGTTATAATTGTCTTAAATGTTTCCAAAAATACTATCAGGCTTGATTTACTCTTTTACATTTAATTAACATATTTTAAGATGTATCCTTGTTAACAGCAGTTCTATTTCACTTATTTTAACTGCTACACTGCTTTCCATTAATATATGAACCACCACAGTCTATGCATCTGTAAGTTATAACAAATACCTCTTATTAGGTTGCAGAAGATAATGTCTCTGCTAGGACTAAAGTCGGGTAGGCTTACTCCTTGTATAAAAGAATTGGGTTTCCTACGCTCAGGATTCCTCTCCTATAACACAGGTCACTGAATGTGCAGGTGTCATCTACCCCTCTTCATGATGCCCTGAGGAAACTGGAAAACTAGAGTTCTTGTTTGTTCTGTTTATAGAAATTCAACCTATGAATGTTTTCTTCATCAGGGGAGAGGAGAAGTACCTGATCTGCAGTGGGGCTGTCTTTTGAGGAATATGTTATTGCCTAACTTGTGGGAATTATTTTTTAGAAGAGATTGGGATTTACTTCTGCCAGATACATCTGGGTATCAATAGATATGGTTTAACAGTAATGTTAATTTTGTGGCTTGGAGATATTCAATCAGAAATGTATATTCAAACTTTAAACCTATGCTAAGTGAAAGCCCAAGATGTCTAATTTTCAAGTTAGATATTTTATTGACCTGGCCCAGATCCCCACAGAAATCAGTTTCCTTTCATTTTCTTGCATCTGTGAGTATGCATGAGGTGCGACAATTAAGTTTGGGAACTCATCCTAGAAGAAGTGCTACATGCTTCATTGTTGAATATCACTACAGTCACCTTCAAAGCACTCCCCTTGGGAAGCTATGCACCAACACCAGCGCCTAGTCCACCCTTCAAAGCAATTTTGGAACTCTTTTTCTGGAATGGCCATCACAACGGTTGTTGTTTTACATTACCCTTGATGTCCTGAATATCATCAGAATGTCTTCCTTTCAATATTTCCTTTATCTTCAGGTAAAGAAAGTCATCGGGGGCCAGATAAGATGAGTATGGTAGGCTGTTCCAATACAGCTATTTGTTTACTGACTAAAAACTCCCTCACAGACAGTGCCATGTGAGCTGGTGCATTGTCATGATGCAAGAGCCATGAATTATTGGCAAAAAGTTCAGGTCATCTAACTTTCATGCAGCCTTTTCAGCACTTCCAAATATTAAACTTGGCTAACTGATTGTCCAGTTGGTACAAATTCATAATGACAAATCCCTCTGATATCAAACAAGGTTAGCAACATTGTTGCAACAAGTGTGTGAACTTAATTGTCAGACCCTGTATGTCTCCTGGTGAAGTCCTTCAGTGACTGAGCAAACTTAAGGTTTTGCAGAGGTCTCAGTTCCAATTTCACACTTCAGAAAGGAATGGGCACAGGAATCCAGTCACCAAGCAGAAGTAGTAGCAGCTCAATATTTAGTCTTCAACTCTTTTGAGACCACTTTCAGTTTAGGCACATGGCGTTTCACTTCAAATGACTTTAAAGGGTTGTTAAAATGTTTGATTTCCCAATTTCCAAAGAATTTAACATTTGACTTGCCCAGTTTCCAAAGAGTTTTTTGTTCACAGTTACAATTACTTAAGAATTTTAGTATGCAAAACAGAGATTCAACTATAATTTTAAAACTTTGCAACAATACAATAATAAGCCACTTTACCTTTTTTATCCTCTAAAACGAAACAAAAACTACACCCTTTTTTCCTCATTAGTCTGAAGAAATTACCTTTAAAACCTATACTTACATTAAGCCACAAAAACTGATTTTATCTATGTATCTGCATTTATTTCATTTTAACCAGTGACTATACAGTAAAAAGCTAGAAAGAATTTATTATACTAAATTTTTCATAATAACAAATTCAATTTAGAAAAGTAACAGCACTCTTACTATGGTGTGTGAATGGACCTTAAAGTATTATTTGTTATCGAAACCATTTATTATAATGGCATTTACCATATTAGAATTTGTCCTGTAAGTCATTAGCATTCTTTCCCATACAAGTCAATCTTCAACTACCTCATGATAATATAAGGTAGCACATTTTAACTTCCATAAAAAGTAACATTTAAGAATATATTGTGTCAATATAGATTTTCTTATAATGTTGCTTATAAATGTTTAATATACTAAACATGATAGAGATTTACCAGTGGGGATTGTGTAGTTTTTGAATCTTTAGCATTTGTCCTCTCATGCAGATCGCTAAATTTCAAGGATTCATTGATGTCTTGAGATAATTTCTCATTAATGGAAGGTGTTTCTAAATCAACACTTGACAAAGAACCTTTGCTCGCAAGTGATATGCAGGAATCATCAGACATTTGATTACTTTCCATATCCATACATTTCTCTTTGAAATGTCTCTCTTTTTCAACAGCAGGAGAATAAACCTCAGATTCCACAATGTTGTCGAATTTTACATTTGAAGACCCTGCTGTTGAAAACACACATTTATAAAAGTTAAATAAATAAATTTAAACAAATTGATTAATCTGTTGACAAACCAAATGTTCTGTGATATAAACTTGTATCAATACTATATTATCAACATTTCTTTAGTGCATTCTCAAGGTTAAAACACTTCTACTCTGCTTATGTTCATAAATGATCATAATTTACTCATGCATTTAAACCTTAATGAACTAGACTAATGAAAGGAGGAAGATTTTATTTTGTAATGAAATCTTAAAATTGATGCACATTTTTATTTAGCCTGTGGTTCAATTCCCACTTTCCTACCTCCTCTCCCACTCAAATTTTACAACAGCAATTTATGAGAAATAATGTGGAGGGAACCTGATTTCCACATTTTGCCTCTTTTCTTCAGCATGCCTAGAGTTGAGGAGAGGGCAAAGGGAAATCTGCTGGATAAAAGAGTAATAGATAGGGACACTCAAAATGTTTAAGCTTGGACACCTGACTCTGAAAAGCTACAAGATGAACAAGATTGTATTAGTCACCACCTCATTAAGTCTGCTTTTAATAAATCACTTGGTTTAAATCACTGGTCTCAACCTGGCTACACAATGTAATTATCTGAAGGTACTCTTTAAAATTGTCAGTGTATGGGCCCGACCCCAAACCAGATGCTGGAAGTGGGACTCAAACACTGTTTGTAATTGCTGTTTGTTTGTTTGTTTCCCTCCACCAAGTTCTCCAGGTGATAATAATATGCAGCTAGGGTTATGAAACATTGGTCTAAATTTTCTGAAGAACAAAAATTCTTTAACAATTTTTGTACTACATTGCTTTTCTTTTAAATAAAAATGTATACAAGTATACTATTATCCAGATTAAATACAGATTCATCTGATTATCCATTATTCTCTTCCTAACATAAATACCTTATCTCTATAAATAGACTATGTAAAGTAGTAGAGTCTATGACTAAAATAATCTCCAGTAATGTAAATTCTGCTTTGAAGCCCAAAGGACTTACTTGTTGCAGTCAAATGTTTATACAGCTTTGACAACTACACATAGTATTTAGAACTTCCACTTCCAACAACTATCACCTCTCAAGTTGCACAAGTACTATGAGAAACTCAGCAACTTCTATGTCATAGAAATACTTTTATAAGAAAAACTTCATTAAGGTTCTTCAATTTAGTGAAACTTCCACAATAATGCTGTGCTTTCCTTCTAAACGTCAATAGAAATGATCTGATTTTTTTGTTGGTACAAATAGATACCATTTTCTATATGTAAAAGTCCACAACTAACCTCTACAATATTTTCGCAAGGTTGTAAAATTCCATTAAAAGCTATCACTACTGAAAAGGTGACAAAACAGCCTTTTAATAATGTTTCAAATGTGATGCAGAAAGTACAGGTATGATTTAATTTAGTCTATTCATTGGAAACCCTGTTAAGTTATAAAAATTAGATGTCTTGGTTCAACATTCAAAAGTCAATTTAATCTGTCACATTAACAGGCTAAAGATGAAAACTCACAGGATCATATCAACAGATGCAGAAAAAGCATGACAAAACTCCAACACCCGTTTATGATAAAAACTCCCAGTAAACTAGAAATAAAGGGAACTTCTTCAACTTGATAAAGACTATCAACAACAACCACCACAACAACAGCAACAACAAAAAAACAACAACATATATTTCACATCATAGTTAATGATGAGAAATTAGAACCTTTACCTCTAAGATCAGGAATAAGGACAGGATGTCCCCTCTTACCACTCTTTTTCAGTACCAAACTGGAAGGTCTAACTAATGCAATAAAACAAGAAAAAGAAATGTAAAAGTATACAGATTGAGCAAAAAGAAATAAATCTGATTTTGTTCCCAGATGACATGATTGTCTATGTTCAAAATCCAAAAGAATCAGGGAAAAAAAAAAAACTACTGGAACTAATAAGTAATTATTGCAAGGTGGAAAGATACAAAAGTCAATCACTTTCCTATGTACCAACATGAACAAGTAGAACTTGAAATTAATGACATAATACCATATACATTAGCATCCTAAAATGAAATACTTATATAAATATAGCAAACTATATATAGATGCATATGGTTAAAACTAGAAACCTCTGATGAAAAAAATCAGAGAACTAACTAAATAAATAGATATTCCATGTTCATGGATAGGAAGACTCAAATATTGCCAAGATGTCAGTTCTTCCCAACTTGATTTATAGATTCCATGCAATCTCAATCAAAACCTCAGCAAGTTATTCTGTGGATATTGACAAACTGATTCTAAAGTTTGTACGGAGAGGCGAAAGACCCAGAGTAGCCAACACGATATTGAAGGAGAACGATGTCAGAGGACTGATGCTATACAACTTCAAGAATCACTACATAGCCATAATAATCAAGACAATGTGATGTAAGCAAAAGTATAAAAAAATTGATCAATGGAACAGAATAGAGAATCCATAAATAGACCCATACAACTGAACTTTGACAAAAGCGCAAAAGCAATACAATAAAGAAAAGACAGTTTTTTCAAAAAATATTTCTGGAAGAACTGGATATCCACATGCCCCCAAAATCAATCTGGACACAGACCTTACACCTTTCACAAAATTAACTCAAAATGCATGATAGGCCTAGGCCTAAATATAAAATGCAAAACTATAAAAATCCTAGAACATAGGAGAAAATATAGATGATCTTGGGTATGGTGATGACTTTTTATGTAATAGCCAAGGCAGGATCCATGAAAGAAATTGATAAGTTGGGCTTCATTAAAATTAAAAACTTCTGTTCTATGAAAGACACAGCCTAGAGAATGAGAAGACCAGCCACAGACTTGGAGAAAATATTTACAAAATACGTATCTGATAAAATACTCTTATCCAAAATATACAAAGGAATACTTAAATCTCAGCAGTAAGAAAATGGACAACTCATCTAAAAAAATAAGTAAATAAGAAAAGAAAAGGGCCAAACACCTTAACAGGCACCTCATCCAAGAAGATATATTAATGGCAAATATGCCTATGAAAAGATGTTCAACATCACATGTTATTAGGGAATTATAAATAAAAACAACAATGAAATATCACTGCACAATTATTAGAATGGCAAAAACCTGAAATACTGACAAAATAAAATGCTGGCCAGGAGATGGAGAAGAGGAACTAACATTCATTGCTGGTGGGAATGCAAAATGGTACAGCCACTTTGGAAGACTGGTCGTTTCTTAAAAAACAAAATACACTCTTAACATGTGATCCAACAATCACACTCCTTGGTATTAGGTCCAAACAAAACTCCACACATGGATGCCTATAGTAGCTTTATTCATAATTGCCACAACTTGGAAGCAACCAAGATGTCCTTCAGCAGGTGAATGTATAAATAAATCGTGTACATCATACAATGGAATGTTATTCAGCACTAAAAAGAAATGAGCTATCAAACCATGAAATGACATGGTGGCACCTTTAAATCATATTACTAAGTGAAAGAAACCAATCTGAAAAAACTGCACACTCTATGATTCCAACTACATGGCATTCTGGAAGATGCAAAACTATAGAGACAATAAAAATATCAGTAGTTGCCAAGGAGTTGGGGGGAGGAAGTTACGAGAAGGCAGAGCACAGAGGATTTTTAGAGCAGTAACACTATTCTGTAATGGTAGATTCATGTCATTAAACATTTGTCCAAACCCATAGAATATACAACACCAAGAGTAAACCCTAATGTAAACTATAGACTTTGGATGGTAACAATGTGTCAATATATGTTTGTTGATTACAACAAATGTACTATTCTGGTTTGGGATGTTGATACTGGGAGAAGCCATGAGATTGTGGAGGCAGAGGGTATATGGGAACTCACTGGAGTTCCTGCTCAATTTTACTGTGAACCTAAAACTGCTCTAAAAAATAAGTTGATTTAAATAAATGAAGCATCTTTAAAGTAACACAGTGGGCATTTATATCCAGTGCTTTTCCAAAGGTATCTAGAACACCTTGCTCCAGGTAGGTCAGAAAACACCTTCTGCATGAGATCTGGAGTCCTATGAAGCCCTAAATTCTCATATGGGTATATTTTCAACCAGTTGTCTTCTGAGTTCTAAATTTTCTGTGTTTTAAATGCACAGCATAATAGGCAAAATTTTTATGTACTGCATTATCTATTGGTTTTATTAAATTACCAACATTTCTTGTTAATAACATTAAAAAACAAGAAAAAACATTACCTTTTGAGTTATCTTCACAATAAGAAGAGTTGTTGTTCAGACAAAGATATAAGAGGTCTGTTTTTCCCTTGGTGAAAACACGATGTTGATGGACGATGTCATTTTCATACAGAAATGTATTCTGATAATCACGAAATGCGCAACTTCCATGTTTATGGTCAAGCAAAAAATAGAGTGGAAAGAAATAATATTTTAAAAAGTAAAAAGTCCCATCTTATTAAAACAAATATAGAAAAATCTTAAGTTGGAATATGGGTATTCACATTAATATTTATTTTAGTCTTGCTGTGCACATATTCTAAACTACATGTAACTAAATAGTCTTATGAATTTAAAGGAAATGGGTAACTGGGCCAAATCTGATTAAACTACAAAATTTCAGTTAAGCATATTCTTTGATCACAAGGCTTTGAAATTAGATATCAACTGCAAAAAGAAACCATGAAAGTTTCTTTTTAAAAATATTCTGAAGTAAGTTTGTTTCCTTATATTCTTTCTTTTAAAAATCTATATGTGGTATTCATGTTTCATTTTTAAATGATCATTATTATATACAAGCACAGTTACCAATAACATTTTCTATGAATCGAAAAACATATTTAATAATACCTATTTATGTAAGCTCTACATAGTACCATCATGAAAACACACAAATTATACTTAACCAAAAAGGTCATCTTGTGTCACTTATGATTCTTTATGATCCTTCTTAGAAAATAAAAAGCTCTTCGGTTGTTTCCAAGTCTTAGCTATTGTGAATAGCGCCGCAATGAACATAGGGGTGCACATATTTTTTCAGATTAATGTGTTGGGTTTTTTTGGATAAATACCCAAGAGTGGGATTGCTGGGTCATAAGGTAGTTCCATTTCCATTTTTTTGAGATACCTCCATACTGATTTCCAAAGTGGCTGCACCAGTCTACAGTCCCTCCAGAAGTGTACCAGGGTTCCCTTTTCCCCACAACCTCACCAGCATTTGTTGTTTGTTGATTTATTGATGGTAGCCATTCTGACCAGGGTGAGGTGGTATCTCATTGTGGTTTTTATTTGCATTTCCCTAATGCTAAGTGAGGATGAACATTTTTTCATATGCCTGTTGGCCATCTGTATGCCATCGGTAGACAACTGAATTAAGAAACTATGGTACATTTACACAATGGAGTATTACTTAGCTATAAAGAAGAAGGAAATAGTACCATTTGCAACAATATGGATGGAACTAGAGAACATTATGCTAAGTGAAATAAGTCAGTTAGAGAAAGACAAACCCATATGATCTCACTTATACATGGATTCTAAAACACTGAATAAGTAAGAAATGTAAACAGAAATAGTCTCAGAGACACAGAGGAAAAACTGAGGGTTGCTAGTTGGGAGAGGGTGGGGATGAAGGAGAATGGGAAGGGATGAGACAATACAAATTGGTAACTACAATATGGCCTCAGGGACAGAAAAGACAGTCTGGGGAATATAATCAATAATGTTGTAAATATTTTTTTAGGGGGCCAGATGGACTCATGTCTTGTTAGGGAGACCACTTCATAGTCAGTGTAGAGGCCTGACCACTGCACTGTATTTCTGGAGCTGATGTTGAATAATAATGTATGTCAACTATAATTATAAATACATATAGTTACAGGACATGGAGTAGAGTGTGGGAATGGAGTCAATGGAATTGTAATAGATAAGCATGATATGGGGCGTGGAAGGACAGTAGATGGGGGAGGGGGGTTGTTACTTTGTGAAGGTTAAAAGGATAACTATTGCATTGTTCTGTACACCTTAAACTAACAATAAAATTAAAAAAGAAAAGAAAAGAAAAAGCTCTATGGGCACCTCCAAACCCAAGATGCAAAACTATTGACAAACCATGATCAATAACTTTTGTGCCTTATCTAATACATGGAAGTCAAAGCAAAGATTTGTGATAAGATTTATAAACAAATCAGATTAGTGAGCAGAAATGCCATTCATTTCCTTAGGGATATAGTAGAATGTAAACCTCTTATCTGCTGACTGGAAGGATTTCTCCTGCCTTCTTGTCAAAATGTCAAATGTCAAAAGACATTTGCTGCTAGATATGTAGGCCCATGTGACCAAACATGGGCTTTTTAGGTCTGAGGGCATCAGTTCGGCCCATGGCTGCTCTCAAATGTTGACAGGGGCCTAAGTTGACCTGAACATATAAACGAAGGATTGGTGTGGAGGCTACTTAACAGGAAATTCATTCTGCTGTTTAGCCAACTTAATACTTTGTAGTCAAGACACCTAAAAGCTTAGCTAAAGTTTCAATAGCAAAGATAATTTGGAGTCATTTTTAACATTACTAACAAAATACAGCTAGATACTATTTTTCAATTGGAAATGACAAAATGACAAAAAGTTGCAAAGTGAACCATTATAATTCATTTCTTTAATTTATCACACAGTAAAATCTACCTAGGGAGTAATCTATAGTGTGGAATCTCTTTTTGTCTCTCAAACTAATAATTAATATACGTATTTTATTTAGGATTCACACTGAAGTGAGGAAAATCCAAAGAGTATCTTTGGAGGGAAGAAGACAGATCATATGAAATGTATCAGTCTTGGTCAGCTGTTTCAAGTAATCACAATTCCTAAATTCAGAAGTTATCTATTACATAATCCAGATATTAGGTAAGAGCATAAACACATCATTGTGGATGGTTTTCTAATTATTGAATGTTGGCAAATATTAGCAGTATTGTACACAAATGTAAACATGGTTTTAGTAAAATATACTATAATATTAAAATTACTTGCTTTTTACATCATGAATTTATCATTTAAGGATAGATTTTTTAATAAGCAGCAAAATGAATTAGAATGATCTTACCTTTGTTGACTGTCAGCACCAGCTAACTCAACTGTGTAAGGCACGACATTTCCTGGTTCTTCAAATTCCTCTTCATGAGTCTTATTAAATGCATGTTATATAATATTAAAATGTTCAATATATGTGATATACACTTACCAGCTAACTTGTGGGTGAGGTTTAGAGAATTTTGTTTCTACAAATAATACCATGAGCTCTTGACTATATGCCATGAAACATGAGTTCTCGGAGAACCCAACAAATTCAACAGATATTTATTGAAAACATTTGCTCTTTCGGTTATTTTATCACTACTATCACACCCAGAATCAACATTAACAACTTACATTTATTATTTTGTAACTACTAAGTGCCAAGTAGATTAATGACAAAGATGTTTTTAGTTCTCTGGCCAGCATATTATAAAGTTACTCTATGCATCAATAATTTAATAACAAGCATACGTACATATACTAGTATATACATGTGTATGTGTATTTATTTGTTCAATAGCTAAATTTATTCAGAGGAAAATGTTGGTTGGTGTTAATAGCAAAAGCTATTAACCTAAAGAAGAAATTAGTATTTAAAGAGGTACTTCCCACGTTCTATTGGGTCTTCGAAAAAGTCATGATGTATTTTGTCTATTTTTCTTTTTTAAGATATTATTGAGGAATTGAGGGAGGGGAACAGTGTTGGGAAATCGGGGGAAAGGGAACAGACAAGTTACTGTCCTTTTATTCTTCAGTCTAGTTGTGGAGGACATTGCTTCACTGGCCCAAGTTGGTATTATTGCACTCTTCCCAGGTGAGGCAGTCGCTCACTGGCCATTGGACAGCCGCTCACGGCGGCTCAGAGCAGCTTACACTGCCTGCTGGCCACACATGGTAGCTCATGGAAGCCCACTGCAGCAGGGGCTGCAGCCTATGCTGTGGCCCGCAACTCACGGCAGCCCAGCTCCAGGTCAAGCTGTTGTTCACCATCTTAGCTATAAAGGGCAGTGTCACTGGCCCTCATGTGGGATCCGAACCAGGGCCCTCCTACTCAAAGCTGGTGTCCTAAGCCAGCTTTTTACCAATGCGCCACTTGGTCGGCCTTGTCTATGTTTTTTAAAGGTCATTTATTTATATAAAGAACAAAGATCAATCAATGATATTTTGTTTGATTTTTTTTTGCCATCTTTCAGTGAGCTTCATAATTCCTCATTCAGAGAAGGACCTGTATTTATTTGCAAAAAACTGAACAAGGTGCTGATTTACAGCCTCATCTGAATTGAACGTTATACCACACAAAGAGTTTTGAAAAGAGTGAAACAAGTGGAAGTCTGATGGCACAAGGTCAGGCGAGTATGGTGGGTGTGGCAACACATCCCATCCAAGCTCCAATAATTTTTGACGGGTGATCAAACTTGTGTTTGGTCTCGTGTTGTCACGATGGAACACAACTCCATTACAATTAACAAGCTCTGGATGTTTCTGGATGATGGATTCATTCAAACTGTCCAACTGGCAACAGTACACATTTGAATTGATTGTTTGGTTGCTTGGTAGGAGCTAAAAAAACACGACACCTTTAAAATCTCACCACACTGAGAGCATAACCTTCCCTGATGAATGTCTACTTTCCATGCCATTTGAGGCGAATCATCACATTGGGACCAAGGCCATTTGAGTACCACATTATTGTAAACAATCCACTTCTCATCACCAGTTATCAGTCACTTCAAAAAAGGATCGTTTCCTCACATTTAATGAGCATATTGCAGATGTTTATACATGCCGTCAAATGAATGTCTCTGAGTTCATGCAGAACCCAAATATCGAGCTTGCTTATGTATCCCAGCTTCTTCAGGTGGTCGTGAATGCTTGAATGATGGATGTTCAATGTTTCTGCAATCTCTCCTGTCGTATAACATGGGTTTGACTCAATCAATGCCTATATTTTATCGTCATCAACCTTGGTGATCCTCCCTGACTGAAAAGTGTCGTTGAGATCAAAATCACCAGCACAGAATTTTGTGAACCATCATTGGCACAGATGTTCTTGTAGAGCATTGTCACTGTAAACTTTATGCAACTTTTCAGAAGCTTGACACACGTTCTTCCCTTTATGAATGTAAAACAGTAAAATATGTCAAAAATTCCCAGTTTGGTTTCCTACTTCAACTTTTTTGTGAAATCTCCAAAACTCAACCAAATCATTCAATTTCTTTTTAGAGTGAAGCTAGAGCCATCAGTTGTCAAATGACATAGCAATAACATAGATGCGTCTATGCGTCCATAACAATGACTCTAGTACTTCCAACAATGGACTAGTGCCATTGGTTGCAAACATGTGTTATGACTTTTCCGAAGACCAAAAATATTTGTTTGACAACCACAGTAATATGAATATTGAGGATAAGTGGTATATTCAGCTAGTAGATGACTGGAAAGTAGTCAGAAATACACTGAGTTTGTCACAACTTAAACTTTTAGCCCAGAGCTCTAGCTCTGACTGTCTCTAGCTGTAGTTGATTCTACTTATTGTCTTCTAGAGGTGTGTATACAAGTTATTATTATTCTAAATCCCTAAAATTTCACACTATATTTCCTTCAAATAGAAAATACTAAATGCATTAAAAAATTAAATGTATAAAAATTTTATTAAATAGATACCATATGAACTAATCTTTGTTTAGAAGCTTGATAATATGAAGAACTAAATTAAAAAAAACACTAAACTATATTTCTATGAGTTATAAGAGTCAAATGTCTTTTCATCTCCCATACTACAGGCTTAAAAAAAAATGACATGATGTCTATTCAGAAATGTGCTGCCACATTAAAATAATGCTGTTTGATTACTATCAGCATGTTTAAATTCAACCACTTGTAAATTTCCTATTAAATGTATGATGTCAAAGGCGTAGTAGTCTTGGGCAGTTTATCACTTTGTGAGGTGTATAAATGTCTAATCACGATGTTATTTTGTACACCAAAAACTAAACTTAAAAGAAAAACAAAAACCAGAAAACAAAAAACAGACAGACAGAAAACTATGTTGAATTATGAAAGAAATCTTATTCAAAGTAATATATAGTTGTAACTGTATGTTATGAATTTTCTGTTTGACAATTTGAGTGGTCATTAGGTACTTACATCATCCAGTTCAACTATCTTTAGAGATGGTTCAGGTCTCTCTGTGCTTAAATCTTCTACTGGCAGAAAAAGAGCTGGGTGTTGTACTTTGGTCTCCTCAACTAGGAAATAAGATTAGAAAATAATATCATCAAAGAATATAACTTATATGATAATTTCCTATCTTCAAATAAATAGCCAACAATAAAAGAATAATGTTCTCCTTTGCACCCAAACAAATGTACAAATGCTGTCAATTTCCCTAGTTCAAGTAAAATACATATCTTCTTAACATTCAATTTTGAGATGAAACTATTTAAATTAAGGCACAGTAAATCTAGAGAAGGGGGAGGAGTGTGCGTATGATGTTGATCTGGCGATACAAGATGCATAGCCCAACTGAGAGTGATACTGCAAAGACAACCAAAAGCAGATGCTGGTTAATACATGGTGTATATAATTTGAAATAATAAATTTGAAAATATCTAAACAAGGCTGAACTAACCATCACTGTCTTCATAATTTTCATGCTGAGAACATGGTGACTCACTAGCAGTTGTACACTGAGGTATGAATGTATCTGGAAGCATTTTTCGAAGTTGCTCCTGTGGAGTTCTACAAAACAAGGAAGAAGCAATTAAAAGGCTAAAATACATTATCAAAACTTCCCAGACAAGATCTTGATTTATGTCACAAACGAGTAACTCTACAAAACTAATAATAAAGTTATAGCTGTACCTCTAATTCATGGAAGAAAAGTATAATTACATAACAGAATCTTAACCTACTTAAATAATTTTGTAAATCAAATTAACATCAACACAAGACTTTTTAATTGCATATCCAACTCTTTTTCATTTAGGATGAAAAGTAAAGTTATGATAGAAGTCAGTGTTCTTGCAGAAACCACACAAAGTCCATTAAACATAGCACACTATTTAGAAAGCTAATTAATGAATGTGTATTTTGTCTCACAGCTTTGACATTATCTAAGAGAGCATGAAGACATTTTTTTTAATTTCCACCAAGCCAGTAAGGTGATAAAATAGGCTCCCATGATATGAATGTGACTGTGGTATAAGTAATATCACCCAGTTAACAATGAGGTTTGATGTGACTCATGTCATATGGAAGGCAACGAAGCAGAAGGATTCTTAGAGGCCAAGATTGTGCATCCAGTTCTAAAGAATATTCCCAAATAACTGGGGAGATGGTCACTTTTTAACCATGAATAAAAGTAGCTATAGTTCTTCTAGATCATGCAAGCTCGTGAGGTCCCCATATGAAAGTCAGGGCCTTCTAAATTACATTAGTAGATAACATCAATACAAAACGTAAAATATTCCAAGCTCCATTTTAATTTGGGGCATTAAATCTTAATAGATGCATTAAATAAGAATTAGTATTAATTTTACAGATGAGGAAATTGAGGCACAACTTATTCAAAGTCATTCAGGTAGTAAATGCAGAAGAGGAATTTGAACCCAAGGTATCTCCCCCCAAGCCCATGTTTATACCATTACCCTATACTGCCTCTCTCACAACCAGCAATGGCACTAAAAATTTGATAATTTCCTGGCAATCTATGGCTATGTGCATTTTCCCAATATATGTAATGTATATATCAGAACATTCTGAAGCATTTACATTTTATTCATCTTTGTGTCTTAACAAATTTGATAAGAATGCCATCTTACATCCATAATTTAATTAAGTGATGGAAAATATTAAAAAGTCAAGATCAAAGACAAATTGGCACCTGATCACTAGAAATTTCCTTCCAGTTTAACAAGGATATACTGTACTACAAAATCAATCATAGATGCACATAAATGTACTATTATACAAATACTTCTTCATGATGTGAAAACTTATCTAATTTGATGAGTAAAGCTCTGACCCAAAGACTTACAGAGTTTAGGTAATAATAAAGTTTTAGAGATAAAGGAGCCCTATAAATTATCTATTCTAAACTCAATATTTTACCAATGAGAAAATGTGGACCAAGAGAATTTAAGTGACTTGCCCAAGAACAAACAACTAGTCAATAAAGTACATCTTCATTCTGGATATTGGGAGCTTGGCATTAATGCTTTGTTAAAAGAGCATGCAACATAAATAAAGAATGAAATATCTTTTAGAATAGGGTTACTTCGCCAGATTTTCCTCAAAATTTAAATAAATATTGATTGAACATTGACCAATTCATTGAGGAAATGTTATGAGTGGTTCTAAGTGTATATTCTGTGAATCAGTGTTAGGCTGCTTCAGAGTTACCAGGGAAGATTTTTTTAAAAGCCTTTAAAGACACTGATTTTTACATCTGTCTGGCATTGGGTTGAGGAATCAGTATTCTAAAAACTTGCCCTGGGTGCTTCTGATGATCAGCTAGAATTCGGAATTAAATATAATGAAATAGTAAGGAAATTAGAGTGGGAATACCAGCTAATTGCTAATATCCACCCTTAAAGTACTCTATATCCAAATCATATGCTCTCTTTTCACAAAACATTTCTAGTATTTAATAGATCCACTGGAGATATTAAGATAACTTATAGATCTATCAACACTTATGTATTGGTTACACGTAAAATACAAAAAAAATGCTACTATGCAAATCAGGAAAGAAATACAAAAAAAAACAATAGAAAATGTATTTATAGGCCTATTATAAAATATGACAATTACAGTAAAAAATAAAGTCTTAACCATGACCAATGTTGTCAATGTGGGAAATTTTTCAGAAGCACAGCATGAGAAATGTTGTAATCAATTTACAATCACAAATTTGTAAATTGCAAATGGATTGCCCTATACCAGCATCTATAATTAAAATGTAAAGAATTAAGTAAAAAAATGATCACTGTTAAAAAATAACTGTGTAAATAAGACCCTAGAGAATATGTTCAATAACTATTATCCTAATAAGGAAATGTGCCAACATTCAGTATTTAGCACAGCTTAGGACTTCATGGGCTCACAATTAAAGCTTTCTTCATGTGTCCAAGCACAAACGATGGTGGTAATTTAATAACAAAATTGTGGTTCTTTGGTTGTATAAGAAACTGAATATGAAAGACATTGAAAGACAGCCACCAAAAAAGATAAGTGACCTTGAGATTACTTTTATGTACTAATTCTTAAACTAGAAAGAGGCAGTAACAGGTACATAATACTGAGTTTCACATCTGAAAGGCTATTAAGAGCATCATATTTTAAAAGAGATATAAACAACATAAACAGTAGTTACATAGGAGCAAACAGAATAGGATATGAATGAACTCAAAACCCTGCCACATAAACCACAGTGGTATACAACTACACACCTATTAAAATGACTACTAAAAGAAAAAAGAAAAAAAAAACCTGAAAATATCAGGCTCTAACAAAATAGAAAACAAATAGAACTCTCATAGATTACAGGAAGGAATGCAAAAACTACAATCCCTTTGGAAAGCATTTTGGCAGTTTCTCATTAAGATAAACATGCACTCACCGTACAACTTAGTCAACCCATTCCCAGGTATTTACTGACCCAGGGAATTAAAAACTTATATTCAAACAAAAATCTATATGCAAATGTTTACAACATATTTAGTCACAATTACAAAAACTAGAAATCAGCAGGACAGTCTTCAACAGATGGATAAACTGTGCATCATGATAAATACTACTCCACAATAAAAAGAAATGGATTTTGACTTACTCAAGAATATGCCTGAATCTTGAAGGCATTTTGCTAAATGAAGGACACAGAAAGCTACATATTGGGCCTGCCGAGTGGCTCTTTAGTTAAGAGTTGGCATGGGAACGCCAGCTCTGAGTAGCAGAGCCCGGTTCGGATCCCACATGGGCCAGTGACACTGTGCCCTCTACAGCTAAGATGGTGAACAACAGCTCAACCTGGAGCTGGGCTGCCGTGAGTTGCCAGTGATGGTGTAGGCTGCAGTGGGGCTGCAGTTGGCTGCCGTGAGTGTCCGGCAGCCAGCGTGAGCGGCCATGAGTCGCCGTGAGCAGCTGTCCAATGGCCGGCAACCAATCTGCCTTAGCCAGGAAGAGCGCAATGATCATACATGGGCCAGTGAAGCGACGTCATCCACAACTAGACTGAAGAACAAAAGGACAGCAGCTTGTCTGTTCCCCTTCCCCAATTCCCCAATGCTGTTCCCTTCCCCAATTCCCCAATAAAATCTTTAAAAAAAAAAAAAGCTACAGATTGTATGAATTCATTTACATGACATTCAGAAAAAGACAAATGTATAAGGATAGAAACAGACCAATGGTTGCCATGGGTTGGGGAAGAAGAATTGACTACAATGCAGAAGTATGAGGGTATTTTAGGAGGATGAAACTGTGCTGTTTGGTATTGTGGTAAACATATGACTCTGGGTATTCGTAAAAACCCATAAAACTGTACACAAGTTTATGCTAGTCAATTTTTTTTGGTAAATTTGTTTTTCACAATGATGTTAATTAGTATTTCAGAAACTACTTTATATATATATATATATATATATATATATATATATATATATACTAAAGTTAAATTAATAAATATATCATTGATTGCAAGAGCCAGGATTTTTCACTGTAGATGAAAGAAACTACAAATAAGCAAATGGAGCATGTAAATGAACCACATGATGCTAGTTTGGAGTTGGAGGTATGAGTGTGAACTCATGTTTATTTTAATAGACATCCAGGTAGATAGGTACAGAAATATATATATATTTTTATTTATTTATTTATTTATTTTTCTAAATGTTGAGAATGCCTACAATCTATAACACCTGAGTAGCCATGAGCACAGGTGGAGTCCAGATCTTGTTTTCTGATTACCATTCTCCAATAAAAGGAATCATGATTCCTAGAAGAAATGATTCCTGGGCTAGGACAGGGAAATGCATCTTGGGTGGCATAAAAATAAAGAGGTATTCAGCTCAAACTAACCAACACGCAGAAAAGGGACAAGAACATGTTGAAAGAAGAGAAGGGTCAACCTGAAAGAGCCCTCAATGGTCAAAGCAGAAACTATTTGAGTCACAAAATAAATAAAAATAGTTTGGGATATTAATCCAAAAAACAAATATCCATGAGTCCACATAAGTAAACAGTTGAATAAATAAATGGACATTCTTCTTTGAAGAACTTGAATTAGTACATACAGAAGGAATGAAGGGAAGAGAAAATTATCAATAGAGCAGCAGAGTAATAGCTGCTGCAGGCAAAACCCACTGATAAATGCTGAAATAAGTAGATAAAACTGTAAGGAAAAACAGGATTTTTCATCATCTCAAAGTATCTCCCCTAAAATATGTATTAATTACTATGATGTGAATGTTTGTGTCCCCCCAAATCCATAGGTTGAACTCTTAATGCCCAGTGTGATAGTATTAAGAGGCGGGGCTTTGTGGAAGGTAAGTAGGTCATGAAAGCAGAGCTCTCATGTGGGGCTAGTACCCTTACAGGAGAAGCCTGCCATGTGGGGACATAGCAGAAAGATGGCCACCTGTGAACCAGAAAAAAAGGCTGCCATCAGACTGAATCTGCCAGTATCTTGATCTTGGACTTCCCAACCTCTAGAGCTCTGAGACATAAATGCGTGTTGTTTATAAGCCACCCAGTCTGTGGTATTCTGTTATAACACCCCAAATGGACAAAGACAGACATTGGTACCAGAAGTGGGGCATTGCTGAAACAAATACCTAAAAATGAAGAAGCAGCTTTGGAACTTGGTAATGGGTAGAAGAGGTCTGAAGTTCATGTTGAAAATGGCCACACTGCTGTAAATGGACCTTTAAAGGCAACTCTGGTGAGGGCTCAGAAAGAGGAGAGCTGTACAAAGAGTCTCAGTCTTCTTAGAGAATATCTAAGTAATCCTGAACAGAATGTCAGTAGAAATATGGCTGATAAATGCCATTTCGATGAGGTCTCAGGTGGAAATGAGGAATGTGTTATTAGACAATAACAAAGGCAATCTTTGTTAATAAACTGGCAAAGAACTTGGCAGAATTATGTTTCTGTCCTAGTGTTTTGTGAAAGGTAGAATTTGTGAGTTGAAATTACATATATGGTTGAGACAATATCTAAGCAAGGTGTTGAAGAAGAATCGTTGTTTCTCTTCACTGCTCATAATAAATGAGCAGAGCAATGACTTAAAAGACATAATTATTAATCAACAGACAATCAAACTTAAAAATGTGGAACATTCTCAGCCTATCCATATTGAAAAATATGAGAAAGCCTGTTCGGGAGGGAACAGGAAGTATATAGCCAAAGGATCACTGACAGGGAGGTTGGTCAGCCATCTAAACAGAAGCCAGGACCTACTGCCCAAGACAGTGGAAGACTGACCCTAAAGACAATTCAGAAATCAGCAGAACTTCCCTCCCATCACAGACCCAGAGAGCTCCAGGTCACCGCAGAGAGCCCCCATTAGGACAATGCCCAGGGAAACTGTGGGAGGAAGGCTGTCCCTGTGACAATGCCCAGGGAAACTGTGGGAGGAAGGCTGTCCCTGTGACCCCAGGCTGGAAGAGCAACACCATTCCAAAACAGGGGAGTAATAGACATGTGACCCAGCACAGAGCCACCATAGGAATGGGGCAGAGCCACCCAGAGCATTGGGGGCCTAACCCCTGCCCAGCAAAGCTACAGGGGCAGGGACGTAGCCTTAGTGTGTCCAGAAGGTGGGACCCCTGCTCTAGTGTGCCTAGAAGGTGGGACCGCCATCCGAGTAGGTCCGGAGGGCAGAGCATTGACAAAAAGAATAATTCTCAAGACTTAAGGTCTAATACAATTTGCCCTGTTGGGTTTCCAACTAGCTTGGGACTTGTTATTCCTTTCTCCTGTTCTATTTCTCCCTTTTAGAATGGTAATATCTATCCTATGCCTGTGCCACCATTGTATTTTGAAAGTACATAACATGTTTGATTTGACAGGTTCACAGAATTTGCCTCAGAATTAGTCATATATTGAGTCTCACCCATATCTGATTTAGATGATATTTACATAAGAATTTGGACTTTAGACTTTTGAGTTGATGTTGGAATGAGTTAAGACTTTGGGGGATATTGGGATGGAATGAACATGTTTTGCATGTGGGTAGGACATGACCTTAGGGGAGCCAAGGGCAGAAAACTCTGTTCTGAATGTTTGTGTTCCCACAAATTTCATGTTGAAATCCTAATCCCCAATGTGATGGTATTAGGAGGTGGGGGGCCTTTGGGAAGTGATTAGGTCATGAAGATAGAGTCCTCATGAATGGGATTAGTGCCCTTATAAAAAAAAATGAGACCCGAGAAAGACCTCTTTGCCCCTGAGAAAACAGTGTGAAGATGACTATCTATGAACCAGGAAGCTGGCTCTCTCTAGACACTAAATCTGCTGGAACCTTTATCTTAGACATCCCAGCATTAAGAACTGTGAAAAATAAATGTTGTTTATCAATATTTAATGTTAAACTTTTAAACAATTTATGAAATGGTACAGCTAATGATATAGTCTTTGAATAAAATATATTTGAATACTATTAATAAAATTTTAAAATTAAAAGTCTAATTAACTTAAAAGTAAATTCTGGAAAGCATAGTCTCAAAAGTTTATGCTAATGTGAAAAAAATCTGAGAGCAATACCTTTTCAAAGTAATCTTTCATTTATTGCATTTTGCTATTATTCTTAAATTCTAGACCATATTTGTGCCTTTTTCCCATATATACATTTCCATTTATCAAGGTAAACTCTAAATTAATGATGCGTTATACATATTAGTAGAATTAAAATTCTTATTAGAACAGTAGAAGCTTTATGAAGATTTAACATTGCCCTAAAATTATTTATGTAAATGTGAAGCTCACATAAAATTGCTACAAAAAAGCATGTCACAGAAGCAAAAAATATAAATAGTTTTTATATTTCTTGTTAATAATACAAAATTCAGGAAATACCTCCTGTGCTTCTTAAGCCATAGTTTTTCCATATAGGATATACTGTCTTCTTTAAATTCAATATTAAGTGGTTCTCTCCAAATTTTCAGATCAGTTTGTACTTCACAATCTTCCAATGAGTCTATAAAAATAAACGTAACATGCATAGTTAATGTGACCTAGTCTATAAATGACCACAGCTTCTTTCAAGATACAGAACTCACCATTTGTGAGGCAAATATGCTTGGATATTTTTCTATATAATCAATAGTTCTAGGCTTAAATAATGCAAAAGTCTTAAATATTGGTGATTTATTAAATGACTGTATAGAGAGTTTTCTTCAATAATCTCTTGAAATGAAAGAATCTAATGAATCCCAAGGTTTTTTTTAAAGCAACTAATTCTTTTAAATGCTAAATATAAATATAAATAGATTCATTATATATTCTATAAACAAACACACACACACACACACACACACACACACACACACACACAGAGATGTGGATTACAGCCAGTGACAATAATATTTGCACATTATGTAGAACAGAAAATAAATAATTCAGAATGACACCTGGAGGAGACAACAGCCCTCATATAAATTTATATCTACATGGCAATTCCTTTCCAGATGCTTAAGGTGTTTCTGAAGTACTACTCAATTAAAACTACTATTCAGAGATATTTAAAACTGGTGGAGATTCCTCTCAAAGAAAGCAGTGTAAATCCAGGGTTACTAGTCTCTCTACCCTCCTAGATATCACCCCTCTCTTCAAACCAGCCACCACAGGAGGGAAATGTTGGAAGGGAAAAGTGTTGGAAGAGAAAAAGGAAAGTAGTAAAGATGGGAAATTATTTTTATAGGCTCTTAAACTAGAAGTTAGTCCCAGCCTCATACTGTAGACATTAATGAATAGCTTCCAGAAACAGCGAAACACCAGCAACAGAAATAAACCAAAAGAATGTAAGTCGCCCCACTGCTATTCTTTCCAAAGGGAAGACAGTGTTGAGGAAGTTCTGAGAAACACCACCAGAATGTATTAAGCTGAAAGAGCAGGAGACAAGAGCAAGTCATGGGAAAAAGGAGATCCTTCCACTAAGAGTCCCCTTTTCTATTGCATACCAAAATATTTCTTAACAGGAAAGCTGAAAGAAAAAAATAAGGATTCACTTTTGATATTTTTTTTCTGTATAGGTTATAGAGAAGGGCCACTGTATTTGATGACCCCCAAATCTGGAAAGGTGATGAAGGAGGTAAAGCAGCAGGCCTATGATTCACTCTTCTCCCATTACCAATGGCTTATTACAGGGAAATAAAAAAATGGCAGGTGACCTGGGTGCATTTCCTTGTGAATATGCTAATAACTGGACCTTCTGGCAAATAGATGAATGACATTTGCTAGAGAAAGAATCTTTAGCTATGTAATAATGCATTTATCAGGAGAGCCCTTGTTTAGAATTGCTTATATAAAACAAATCTAGAATACATGGATTTATGAGGTACGTCTCCCTGAAAAAATGTTATGTAAGCTATGCAACTTAGGTTTGCGTTTTCTCCCTTGTTTCACAGTTTACTGGCTACTTTTGATGAGAATTTGTGTGACATGCCCCATTGTTCATATTGATGGGATGGTGGGTAGTTTCCTTAATAGACAGCACAAACTCTTAAGGTGAAAATGTGCCTGAGGTATTTGAGGAACAAGAAGCCAGTATGGGTGAAACAGAACAAGCAAGGGAAAGGGTAACAGGAGTTGAGATCAAAGAGATCACAGACTTTAGATTACTGGGAACCTTCTAGGCCATTGTAAGTACTTGCCTTTCACACTAAAGGAAATGAGCCTTTAAAATACACTAAAATGAAATTAAGTTAGAAATCAATAACAAATAGCTAGAAATTTAAAACACATTACTAAGCTAAATGACCAAGAAACATGAAAAGATGCTCAATATCATTTGCATTGATTTGCACAAATTAGATCTATCATTTTATCTCTATCAGACCAGCAAAAATTTAAAAATCTGACACTTCAAGTGTTGGTGATAATGGGAAGCAACCACACCTCTGATACACTGCAGGTGGGAGTATAAACTCATAAAAATACTTTGATAAATAATTCAGCTCTACCTAGTATAGCTGAAGAAATGCACATCCTATGACCCCGCTATTCCACTCCCAGGAACAGCTACATCCTAAAAATGTGTACACGTGTGTCCAGGAGACCTGCACAAGAATATCAATAAGAGCATTGGTTGTAATGGGAAAAATGAGAATCAACCCAAATAACCATCGACACTTAAACAGGTAAATAGTGCTATATTCGTATAACAGAAGACTATTAAGCAGTGAAAATGAATGAAATACAACTATGCACATCTTCATGTGCAAATATCAGTAAATAATATTGAGTGAAATAAACAAGTTGCAAAAGAATACATATACTAGTTTTCCACTTACATAATGTTCAAATACAAGCAAATTTAACATTATGTTGTTTAGAGACACACACATGCAGTAAACTAAAAGAAAATCAAGGACATGAAAAATCATAAAATTCAGGCTAATGACCATGTATTAGAAAGAAGGGAAGAGGGAAGAAAACAGATGCTTACTGTTTTATTTTTCTTCGTAAGCTATACAAGTTTTATAAATGTTCTTTGGTATCTACTTAATACCTTAGGAAAAGGAAAATATTTACAAACATATTCACATATTCATATAATGCACACACAAATAATTATATATATAACTATATATAAAATATATATATTGGGTTGTCGGAAAAGTCATGATGTATTTTTCTGTTTTTCTTGCAAAAATGCATCATGACTTTTCTGACATATATATAGATATATCTATATATATCTATATATATCTATATATGGCAAAAAATCAAATTTTATATCAACAAAGCTCCTCATCTGAATGATTTCTCCACAGCAACAACACTGTTGACCTCCCTTCTTTATTTAAAAATACTACCCTCTATGGTTATTATGATAATGCACTTTTTAAGAACATCCCGCCTACCTATATGCCACTCTTTATCATCTCTGCAGGCTTGCCTTTCCTAGCCATTACATGTAATTCCTCTCTAGCTTGTTATATTCTCCCTAGCTAGAATATTCTCCCTTGTTCTCTAAGGTCCAGCCACACCCATCTACCTTCAGCCCCATTAACACAATGTGCTCCCCTCCATCATAGAGCTTTTGCACATGCGGTTTTCTGTCTCCGCTCTCCAACTAATTTTCTGGACCTCAACTCAAATCTTGGTTTCTTAGAATACTTTTTCTCATCATCTGTATCTCAGAGTCCTGACAAAAAAAAGAAAACTTAAAGTGGTAATTTGAAGAAGGTCAAATGAAGGGACTCACTTATAACCATGCATTAAGGTTAATGGAATAAGTTATGTTGCAGCACCAAGAGACTGAAAAATTACCAACCCTCAGCTTGAGAGGAGAGAGTAAGAGAATTGTTGGAAGAAGTCTCTGACAGTGACAGCTGTGTAGAGAGTTCATCTCAGTGATGCTAATAACACAGGTGGAGAATGTAGTCACTACAAAATCTCAACACATCAAGGAGAGGAAGAGTAAATACATCTACCTCTTTTTTGTCACCCTTCAATATCCCGTTAGTGTCTCCAATTGGCCAGACACAACCAGACACCAGAGAACAAGGAAGTTCAGGTGATGCAGTCCCTAGTGCTCTAGAGGTCAACCTCCAGGGCCACACAATAGGGCAGAAATGGAAGACGATGGAACCTCCAGGGCCACACAATAGGGCAGAAATGGAAGACGATGGATCTGGAGAGATAGGGTCTACTTATGTCTCTCTCTCTCTCTCTCTCTCTCTCTCTCTCTCTCTCTCTCTCTCTCTCT